CGTGTTGCTTGTGCTAGGGCTTCATTTAGGTTCTTGATTGATAGATTTATAGTTTTGTCAAACTGGGGGATATTTAGGCCATTATTTCTTTAGTTTTTCTCCAGGGACTCTAGTTACATATATGTGGCTGCCTAAAGTTGTCCAACAGCTTCCTGGTGCTCTGTACAATTTTTCTCAATCATTTTTCTCTTTGTGTTTTATTTTGTGTAGTTTCTATTTTTATGTATTTTAATTTACTCACCTTTTCCATTGTTGTTATACTTGTTAAATTAACATTTGTTCAGTGAAGCTCAGGGTGCTAGATAGTGAGCTAAGTTCAACAAAAGACCACAAAAGAAATTGAAATAGAGAAGTTTAATACTCACAGGTCATGGAGGAAGTATGTGGCATGCCTTGAGGGGGGTCACACAGGGAGGGCAGGGCAGGGTGCATGCCTTTGTTAGTTAGGGTCCATGGTTGGGGTGCTTTCACATACCCGGGCTAAGGTCAGATTGGTCGATTCAAACCAGAATGAGTGGGTTTTTTAGTAAGTTCCACAAGTCTTACCTAAGGGGCACACAGGAGAAGGCATAAGAGGCGGGGAGACTTCTGATCGCTAGGACCGTTGGGGAAATCGTATCAGGAATTGACATTTGTTTGTGACTCTGCAGGATATTATCTAGGACATGCGCTCACTTCTTGCACCAGGGGGCTGTTGCCAGTTAAAGGACCCTGTAGGCCACGTGGCCAAACCAAATGGACATGGAGGCAGCAGTGCTGTGGAGTAGCTCAGCCAAACTCCCAGCAGTTGTCTAATGTCGTCTACCTCATCCAGTGTATTTTTCTTTTCTGACATTGTATTTTCTTATCTCTAGAAATTTGATTTAGATTTTTTTTTTTACATCTTATGTATCTCAGGTTAACATGATTCAGTCGTGTAGCTTCTTTTTTGGGGGGTAGGGTCTTGTAGCTTCTTGAACATATGGGATACAGTTATAATAATCATTTTAATACAGCTTTTTTTTTTAGTTCTATTATCTGGGCCTTGCTTTTAAGCTTTATTAGGCAGGAAGCAGAGCAGCATTTAATTTAGGGCTAATTTTACACCACTATGGAGGCAAAATCCTTCTGAGAGTACTCTGTGAAGTATGAGATTTTCCATGAGGCAGGTGGGAATGGGCAGAAAGCACCGCGCGAGATACGGGTTGTTGTTTATTGTTGGGTATAGCAAAACCCAGTTTTTCCAGGACCACTTGTTGAAAAGACTTCTTTCTCCTTTGAATTGCCTTTGCACCTTTATTAAATGTCACTGGACCACATACTTACTAATACTCCAGGCCTCAGTGGATGGTTGACACTCAAGCAGCTTCATTCTCCCTCTAGTATTTTAGAGATTTTATTTTATTTATTTTATTTTTTATTGATTGATTTTTAGAAGGGGGCGGTAGGAAAGAGAGAGAGAAACACTGATTTGTTGTTTCACTTATTTACCTATTCATTGGTTGATTCTTGTATGTGCCCTGACCGAGGTGGAACTCACAGTCTTGGCGCATCAGAACAAGGACCCTGCTGCTTCTTGAGTAGTAATGGGAAACACTCTCTCACCTTGGGTTTTCAGACTCATGGGGTGGAGAACGAATGACAGAGCTCACCCACCAAGGGCACCAGCGATGAGACAAGGATCCAGGAAGATCTCATCCGGAGTTGGCTACTCCAGTCACTGAGAAACCCTGGCAAAGACATGTCCCTTCAGACTGTAGTCTCTCGTGGTCCCCAGCATAAAAGTAGATTAGGGTCTAAAAACCAACCCAGGCACTGGCAGTGGGCCACCCAGTGAGTCACCTCAGTAATCTCATGTGTACCCTGAGACTAATGGCAGAGTTACTGCTCCCAGAGCCAGCCGGAGGGGTAGCTGCACCCGTACTGAAACGTTTCTTGTTTACAGAGTCTCTCCTGGGCCAAGAGCCACAATGAGTGCTTTCCCAGCACCACCTTGGGTGTATTTGTCTTCCTCTTTAATGCTGTGTTTTGAGGCTTCAGAGTCTAGAGGGAGAAGTGCTGGACAAGACCTCCCTGTTCTACCTCTTTTCCCCTTTCCCAGTGAATACTCAGAGTGTGCTGACGCTCGGATCTGTGCTCTTTTCTGGAAGCTTTGAGAGGATTCTGAGTTTTGTCCAGGAGTGTGCTGGACTTGTTTCTGAGAAACTTCACGTTGGAGGTACACAGCTGAAGGGTGAGCGCAGGATCTAGAAGGGCGCAGAAACAAAACAGTAGGCAGGGGAGCAGTTGCTCCCTCCTGATCCTTGTTGGCCCTCTTTTCTCCGTAAACAGTAGTTAGAGCATCTTGTGTTCGGAGAGTGTTGAAGACTGGGCCCTGGGGGAGTTGGTGGGAGGGGTTAGGAGACAGTGGCAGACGGCAGCGGACGGGCTGCTGGGCAGCACCGTGAGCTTGTTGAGGCTGAGGAAGCAGAGAAAGCCCATGGTCAGATTAGCCACACGTGGGCTTTGGAGAGAGCAGTGAGGGGAGAGGGGTGAGAGAATTGGAGGAGCCCAGCGTGGTGCAGTGCCTTGGTGTAAGACAGAACTGTGTTTGTACCTGGCTCCACCATCAAGTAGTTCTGTGACTTTTGGGGAAATCTCTCTAAACTTAAGTTCCCCCATCAGTCCTATAAGAAGAAGAATACTTTCTTTTATAACTGTTGTGAAGATGGAAAACTATAATGCTTGCTTTATGCATGGTAAAGTAGAATCTGTTTCCGTTTCTTCCCCTGACAAAACAGAGCTTAAAAGCAGATCCTGTTCGCCCTGGCTGGTGTGGCTCAGTCAGTGGATTGAGTGCTGGCCTGTGAACCGAAAGATTGCTAGTTCGATTCCCAGTCAGGGCACATGGGACCTGGGTTCCGGGCCAGGTCCCCAGTTGGGGGTGTTCGAGAGGCAACTGATCAATGTCTCTCTCACACATCGATGTTTCTCTCCCTCTCTTTCTCCTTCCCTTCCTCTCTCTGTAAAAATAAATAAAACCTTTTTTTTTAAAGTCATTTCTTAAATTAAAAAAAAAAGTAGATCCTATTCTGGGGAATCTGCCCTGGAAAGTCCAAAATTTCTGAGCAATAGGAGAAAATAGGAGGACTGGAGGCTTTGAAGGCTCAATGACAGCAGAGGATGAGGTTTTAGGGGGGGAGAGAGCTAACAGGGGTGGATGGAGGCAATTGGCTCCATAGCTCAGGGGTTCGAGCACTAGTCTTATAAAAGGGATGGATAGATAGATAGATAGATAGATAGATAAAGGGATGCTAATTTCAGAGAATAGGTTCTAGAGCTGAAGATTCTAGTGGTTAAGAGGTTCTAGATGCTGCTTTCTTGCTATGAAATTGAGAATAAGGAGCAGTGAGGCCAGAACATGGCGTGGGCCATCCCATGATCTTTCAGAAGGAAGAGGAGTGTTGGCCTTGAAAGAGAGGACCATGAGCACCTTCAGAAGCTGCTGGAGATGTTGGGGGATGATTAGGAGGGCAGTAGATGTGAGCAGTGAAGGAAAAGAGGGGCTCTGTCTCTTAGGGAAGGAAAATGGTATGCCAGCATGAAGGGGAATGGTCTGGGATCAGCAGTGAGGAACCTTGGTGTTGGTACAGAATGAGGCTGGGGCAGGAGTAGTTGCTACTCAAGAGGGCCCTAGGGCAAGGCTGTGTGTAAAAGGAGGTCTTGTTAGAGGTGGGAGGTTTACAGGGCTTGCACCTAGATGCCTCGAAGTGAGCTAGCTGTCACTGGCTGCTGCCACCACAGATGGTATAGTCGGCGTTAATTCCCTCTGGCTGATCGTCCAGTTCTTTCATTGATATGCAGGCTCCACCCTTCCTCTTTGACCTAAAAACTGTCTCCATCTTCTTCACTTCTCTTATTCCTGTCAACATGCACATGCAAACACACACACTCCCCAAGCCTCTCTCTGCCTCTGAAACCCCACCGCCTCAGGACGTCTTCAACACTTGCAGTCCCCCAAATTCCTCATGTTGGCCTTTGCTCTTCTTATCATTTCGGCCTCCAGGGCTGTGGGGCTACTTTCCTAGAGCTGCACCTCAAGGAATCAGTTAGATAAGACATAAATGACAGTGTTCCCAAGCCAGCGCCTTGAGCTCCAAGAAGTACTTTCTTCTCTATATGTGAAAATAGGGAAAAAAAGGCTGTTACAGGAACAGAAAGGAGCCAGCTTGTACCAGCACCAGAAAACAACTTCAGGGATCTTGTGGATGTCCTGGGTGCTTCATTTGGGTCTCCAAAGCAAGCCCCCGCCTTAACTCGTTTCATCTTTTCTGTCCATCTTTCTATAGTCTGCTTCCTAGGTCCCATGCTGAGCTGTTCTGAATGATGTTGGCATCCCAGATACAGCAGCGCTCCTTAAACCTGAATCCTTGGCCTGAGGACCCCACATCCAGTGTCCACATCTCACCCATTTTGCTTTATCAGCTACAGAACAGCAGGCCTCTAGTGTCTGTAGAACCCAGTTATTGCCTAACTCAGATGCTCCTTCACTGGAAACAGACCCTTAGGCTCCCTCCACTAGTCCTTCATTAGCTGAGAGCCTAGTGCTCCTTCTTGAGCCTTAAGTGAGGGATGTGGTCTCTTTAGAGCTGAGCCAGCTTTTGCCAAAATAGGAGAGAGCACACCTATAAATTCAGTAATGGAGGAGGCGTACTGAGCCTTTTTGAGTGTGTTTCCCAGGAAGACACCCATACGTGAATGGGCATTTTGCCTCTCCCCACCAGCAGATAACTTGCTCACTTGTTTTTTTCTAATTCTCGTGCAGAGATTGTGTCTGCTGCCTCATTTCTCTCTGAGGCTCTAGGAGGGTACATTGGCTTCTCCATAGTACAGGGCTCAAAATAAAAATCACGCAACTGAAGCGCTGCAGATACTGCTCCCTAGTTTCCACTGTGGTGTGCCCTGGCACCTACAAGAAGGACACTGGAACCCTGCCCCCAGGATCCAGCCCCCCAGCTCTGACCAGCTCTTTTTCCTTCCAGGGAAAGTGAATTTCTTCTCTAGCGGCCTTCTGTTTTCTCACCGTCATCACGGAAGCATCATCATTTCCAAGGATCACGTGAACTCCATTTCGTTCTATGATGGGGTAGGTGTTCACCAATTTATGGCTTTGGTGTTCAGAAAGATATCCCCACTTCTGAGGGAAAAACCAAATAACTCCCATCCTCACTTGACCACCATGGGACGGGATGTCTGGACTCCCCACTGCCTTTAAGTCAGGCAGGCAGGGGGATCATAGAGAAGCCCACCTGCTCTCAGGGCTCTGAGCCTCGTCAGCCTTGCTGCTCCATAAAGGGCTTAGCTAGAAAGGGCTTCTGGGTCAGGAGGGCCAGCAGCTACCCTTGGGTAATTAACTCATCCCAAAGAGGATCAGAAAGTAGATGAAGGAAGGCCTCCTCCTGCCTAGGAACACAAACTCACCCAATTAAGATCTGGAAAGATGCTGCTTCCTGTGACATTGATGGGGCTCCACTCACCCATTAGCATGGGAAAGAAGTATAAGTGAGAGAGAGAGGAAGAAAAATGGCTAACTTTCCCCCGGAGGACTTAGCCATACCCCATCACGTGTTCAGATTTAACCTCCAGCTGTGTGAAAGTTCCTCCCCCAGAACCATGCTTTACTGTCACTAGTCCACACTAGCGAAAGGGTAAAGCATCAACACTTCCCTTTTCTCCTGGGGGAAGAGAGTAGTTATGAGTGTCCCCTAGCCTCTGCCTCCTGCCCAGAGCACAGCTTGTCTCTCAGTGTGACATACAACCTCAGGCTGAAAACCAGCTTGTTTGGGAGCCAAGACAGAGGCCAGGTGGGGCAGTTTTGTCACATGGTCAGAAAATGAATTTTGTGAGCAATTCTTGAAAGAATTCTTTCTCCCACATAGAACCTGCTGCCTTAAAAGCGGTTCAAAAAAGCAGGCAGACCAATAAGACAGAATGGATGATCCTATCAGTGAAAGCTTTGATACCAGGTTAAAGAGTCTTACAACATCAGGGGAGAAAGGATGAGTCATTCATGCACTGGGACTCTAAGTTAGTTCATTTGGGGAGAAAATGGAGTCTTATGTCATATCAAAAATCAAAATACTTCAGACCAGTTAAAATTAAATACTTTAAAATTTTACAAGTATAAAGAAGAATACAAAAATGAATATTTATTAAATCTCTAGGGACAGGAAGACTTCTAGCTTAGAAACTTCCTTAGATACAAGAAATTATAGAGGTCTGTCAGATTTGACCACGTATGGATTTCTAAAATTTTTACTGATGATTTATTGAGATATAGTTTAAATACAATTAACTGCATCCATTGGAAGTTCTGACAGATGTAGGCCCTCATGACCCCACCATCACAATCAAGACACAGAAGACATTCATCACCCCCAGGAAGTTTCCTAACGCCCTTTTGCAGTTCATCTTTCCCTCCTCCGGCTTTAGGCAACCACCGATTCTGTCACTACAGAACAGTTTGAATTTTCTAAAGTGTTGTATAAGTAGACATGGTACACTCTGTAACCCTTTGAGCCTGGCGTTTTGCACTCAGTGGAAGGAGTTTTAGGTTCATCCGTGTTGTGTGCAGCGGCAGCCAGTTTCTTCTCTCTGCGTTACTGCCGAGTAGTGTTCCACTCCACGAATGCAGCGTCAAACTTATCACACTAAGTCATCATTTAAAACTCTAAAAAAGTATCCACAAAGATAATTAAAAACAACTAAACTGGGGGAAGTATTTTTTGGTGATTAAAAAAGTGAGTTAATTTCTTTTCTATGAAGAGCTATATTTCTTAACATGAAAACACTGAATCCCAGGTCAGGGGTATTAAAAAACATGAGATCAGTTACCAGAGACAATCATACCTTTTTTTATTGCACTTCACAGTTGTTGGGTTTTTTACAAATTGAAGGTAAGACCCTCTACAGCAAAAATTACAACTCACTTTGTCATGATACTGTCTTTGTTTTGGTGGTCTGGAACCAAACCCGCAATATCTCTGAGGTCTGCCTATATATGAAATCCCATTAGAAACAGCCTCATGCTATCATGCATGACAACAAATTAGCAAAAAGTAAATAGAAGGTACTGTTGGCAGAGGAGAAAGGGAGTGAGTATTATAAATGTCCACCCACAGGGGTGACCTGAGAGGAGAGTGGGAGACTGTCTTTGCAAATGTTTACAGATAGTTTGCAACAACAACAACAAATACAGATAATTTGTAACTACATGACAGATGCTAACAATAAACTAAGTTTTTAAAGCAAGACCCAGAACTGTTAAAAAAAAAAAAAAGAAAAGAAAAGATTTCCCAGTGCCTAAAAAACAGTAACTCAATGAATGGATTGGAAAAAATGACTAGAAGAAAAAGTATTAAAATGTTACCTGCAGTTGTGTTTAGGTGATGGGACTTTGTGTTACTTTTTTAAACGTTTCTTTTCTATTTTATTTTTGTATTTTCTTTTTAATTTTAATTAATGAACATATTACTTTTATAATGAAAAAATTAAATGTTAAAGAAAACCTTTTCCTCTAAAATCCAGAATAAGACAAGGATGCTGGCTTTTGCCGTTTCTATTCAGCATAGTATTGGATGGTCTAGCCAAAGTAATTATGCAAGAAAAACAAATAAAAGGCATCTAAATTTGAAAGGAAGAAGTAAAAAATTATCTCTATTCACAGATTATATGAAAATTACAAAGAGTCCACAAAAGAACCTATTAGAATGAATAAATGAACTGACAAAAGTTGCAGGATATAAAATCAACACACAAAAATTCAGTTACATTTCTGTACTCTAGCAATGAACAATTTAAAAGAGATTAAGAAAACGATTTAACCCTGGCTGGTGTGGCTCACTAGGTTTAGTGCCAGCCTGTGAACCTAAGGGTCACAAGTTCAATTCCCAGTCAGGGCACATGCCTGCATTATGGGCCTGGTCCCCAGTAGGGGGCACACGAGAGGCAACCACACATTGGTGTTTCTCTCTCTTTCTCCCTTCCTTCCTCTCTCTTGAAAAATAAAAATAGATAAATAGGATCTTTAAAAAAATAGAAAACGAGCCCTGGCTGGTGTGGCTCAGTGGTTGAGTGCTAACCTGTGAATCAAAGGGTTACCAGTTCAATTCCCGATCAGGGCATATGCCTGGATTTCAGGCCAGGTCCCCAGTTAGGGGCATGCAAGAGGCAATCATACGCTCATGTTTCTCTCCTTCTCCTTCTCCCTCTCTTCCTCTCTCTAAAAAATAAGTGAATAAAATATTTTAAAAAATAAAAAGAAAACAATTTCATTTGCAATAGTATCAAAAAGAATGTAATCTTAGGAATAAATTTAACCAAAGAAGTGAAAGACTTGTACACTGAAAACTATAAAACATTGCTGAAAGAAATCAAAGAAGACCTAAATAAATGGTAAGATATCCCATGTTTATGGATTGGAAGACTTAGTAAGTAACAATACTACGCAAAATTATCTACAGATTCAATGGGATTCCTATCAAAATCCCATTTTTGCCAAATTAATGCCAAAGGCATTTTTTGCAGAAATAAAAAAAAACCCATTCTGAAATTGATATGTAACCTCAGGGAATCCCTAATCACCAAAATAATCTTGATAAAGAACTAAGCTGGGAGGCTCACACTTCTGATTTCAAAACATAACACAAGCTACAGTACTCAGACGACAATGTGATATTAGCATAAGGTCAGACCAATGAAATAGAACAGAAAACCCAGAAATAAAACCCCAGATGTGTGCTTAAATGATTTTGACAGTGCCAAGACCATTCAATGAGGAAAGGACCGTCTTTTCAACAAATGGTGCTAGAACAACTGGATATCCACGTGCCAGTTGGACCCTTACCTTGTGCCATCTACAAAAAATTAACTCAAAATGGAACATAGGCCTAAATGTAAAAGCCAAAACAATTAAACTGTTAAAAGAAAACATAGGAGTAAATCCTTGTGACTTTGGATTAGGCAGTGATTTCTTGGATACAACACCAAAAGCAAAGGCAACAAAAGAAAAAATATATAAATTGGACTTCATCAAAATTAAAAACTGTATCAAGGGACACTTATCCAGAAAGTGAAGAAAACCTACAGAATGAGAGAAAATATAAATCTGATAAAGGATTAATACCCTAGAAAGAATTGTGAGATGACATTTTTAGGAAAAAACCCTTGTGCTTCCTGTATCTTATACACTTGGGTATTGGAAGCACAGCTGTGTTTGAATCTCAGTAAACCATATAATATGAAAATAATCACGCTGAAGTTCATTATGTGTGTCTGATAGTAGTTGTGAGAAATGGTAACATACAAATGGCTTTTCTCACTAGTGCTCCCTCTTTTTCTCTTAGGATTCCACCAGCATCGTTGCTGCCCTTCTGATAGACTTCAGAAGCTCATTGCTTCCTCATCTCCCAGTTCATTTTCATGGTTCAAGCAATTTTCTGATGATTGCCCTTTTCCCCAGATCAAAGATATACCAAGCATTTTACCCAGAGGTAACATTAATCATTAGCAAAACTACTACTATGTGTCCCTAGCAGTGTAGGTGGTAAGGCAGTGTCTCAGGGTTAACAGTGAGGTGTTGGGAGGCTGGAGAGGGTGGCTGCTTCTAGTCCCTTTGGGTCCTGGAATGGTACCTTGTTATTGAGGGGTGAGACCCTAAAGGAACTGAACAAAAGGCTTTTTAGTGGCTAAGAAAAATCTTCACTGTCCCTTTAAATCCTAATTAAACTTATTTTCCCTTTAGCCACTTGGTTGAATTGTTGGGCCTTACCCATTGTATCAGAGCTTTCTATCCCACCCCAAGTTCTCCCTCCTGGTGGTTCACAGGCACTGCCCTTGTGAATGGTCCCACCTGGCAGGCTGCATATTATAGGCACCCAGCACAGATTGTATGAGTGAGGGAGTTTACTGAGAATTATGCAGCCCACTTAGAGCCAAGCAATAGTTCAAGTCAAACAGATGGCTGGCATTATGGCGGGTGGAAATGCTTGGAAAGGTGTGATTGCAGCAGCTTGTGAGAGGACAATGTCTCTCCCTCAGGACAGGTTCGCAGAGCATGGAGGAGGCAAGAGCTGAGCTTGGTGCAGATGGCGTCTCAGGCCAGTCTGTGCCTCCGTCTTCCTGCCTGCTGGTCCTTCCCACCTCCTCATGATTGTCCTTTCAACCAGGAACATGGAGGCAGCCCCTTAGGTTCTCTCCAGCCATCCCTTTGCCTCCACACAGGAGTTGCTTGGACCTTCATTCTGCCTGGCCCCCTCACCAATGAAGAACATGCCCCTCCTGCCAGAACGTGTTACCTGACACCTTCTGTGCTTCCTGGCCTGTGAAGGAGCAGAATCCCTGGGAGAGGAACCCAGAAAGAAATTCTAGTTTTAAAAAAAAATGCAGAAGAAAATTGTTTCAGGCCTCTATTTTTGAAATAAACTTGTTACAATTGTTTGTACTGACAGCCTAGGTTTTCAACAACCATCAAATCCCCATGTGGGTTCCATATCCTGTTGTTGGGTTTAAAGTGTTCTTTGCCCAAATTCTGTTTTATTTAGGTCTTCTCCCTCTGGCAAAAGCAAGCTAACTCAGGGCTGTCTTTAAAAGTGATCCAGGAAGATGGATTATCTGTGGAACAAAAGAGATTGTAAGTGGCTGCCTTCAGTGTTTATGCTTGCTTCCTTAAGCTATGCGTGGCTGCTTTCTCTTCGGGGTGACTTGCATTATGTAACACAGGGGACTTGGTTTCTGAAAGAACCATCACGGTCATTTTCAGTGCTGCCAACTTAAAGACAGCACAAGTCCCTGGGGAAAGAGAAATCCACCAAGAATCAGAAACCCATAATACTGCCAAGGGTTTTGGGCCGACCTTCCTATGTGGGCACACTAGTCACCGTGCACTAAAGCCACATTTTATTTAAGTCAGTGAGGTGCTTGTTTTGGAAGTGTCGACTTTGTCACAGGACTCTCTGGCTTGCAAGCGTCAGAACAAGTTATGTAAAGTAGGTATGCTATAGGGAGATGGAGTTCTCATTTGTGTGCTTGTGATATTCCAGACACTCCCGTGCACAGAAGCTCTTCAGTGTCCTGAGCCATTCTGCTGGGGAGAAATGGAATCCTCTAAAGCTACTGTCAGCCAAACTCCCAGAGCTGGACTGGTGAGCTTTGGCTTTCTGTTTATAGGTGTTCAATGTCCTGGCTTTTGAAGCGTCAGAAACGTCATCATTGGTCATTTCTAAGCCCCTTCTTCTTTATAGCTTCTTAGGGATCATTGTAAAAGTTAGCAGTGACACACCATATACAATTTTATTTTCTAGAGAGAATCTCTCCAAGGTTTCTTTTTTTGTTATTTTTTAAAAGATTTTATTTACTTATTTTTAGAGAGAGGGGTAGGGAAAGAGAAAGCGAGGGAGAGAAACATTAATGTGTAGTTGCCTCTTGTGCATCCCCTACTGGGAACCTGGCCTGCAACCTAGGCATGTGCCCTGACTGGGAATCAAACCAGCCACCCTTTGGTTCCCAGGCCCACGCTCACTCCACTGAGCTACACCAGCCAGGGCTCCAAGGTTTCTTTTTTTATCAATTAAATAACAAGTTTCTCATGTGAATGGACACATTCAGGTGAGACTGGTGATGGTAACATAGGAGCATTATCTTCTTTTTTCTAGGTTTCTCCAGCATTTCGCCATCAGCAGCATTAGTCGAGAGCCTGTGATAAGGACCCATCTCCCTGTCCTGCTCCAGCAAACTGAAATCAACCCTACTCAGCAAGTAGAAAATGACAAGGTACAGCAGCAGCTCACCAAGTCTGCTGGGAGTTCATGGGAAGAAAAAGAATCCTGATAGCCTGCCTTTGGTTATTCCGTGTCAGTTAACAAAAGTAGCTCAGGCGGAGTCCCTTTTGTAAGACACTCCACCCCCTTGGGTACTGATGTAATGATACACATGAAACTCGCTCCGTGCAGTGACTGTACAGGCATCTGCATTAACCCCAGCCAAGCCCCCTGGCAGTGATGAAGCTCGGGCACCTTGCCCTGCCCTCCCCTTCCTTCTCCGGGCCATTCCAGTGCTTGCTCAGTGCTCTCATGCTGTCAGCTCTTTCTGGTTGTGACAGGGCCTTACCTGGCATTGGGTGACACATTCAGCTTAATAAGGGGATGGGCCTTGCTAGCATCACCAGGGTAAGGTGATACTTTATAAACATTGCCTTCCCAAGAGTGGATTGTAATCTGCACTCACCTCACACTCCTCCTCTTAACTTCTCCCACTGTTTCTTTGGAGCCATATGTCTTTATATGCCCAAAGAGAACATTTATTTCTGTGCAAATCTGGAAGACACTCGACTACAAAAGAAAATAGAAGCACCAAGCAACCAGAAGCCTCATTTTTCCTTAGGCAAGAGTTTAAAAATGAACGTGCCTGCTTGTCCTGTTTTGTTAAAAAGGTGCCATGGGACCGGCCTTAAAGTAAGAGGGGGTCTGGCTGTAAGCGCACGTGCTGTGGTGTGAGAGGCCGAGGCCTGGGCGCCGAGGAACAGGCACCAAGATGAATGGAGGGAGGATGAACGAAAAGTCAGTTTCATGGAGTACTCCCCACGGGGCATAAGGGGACACAGAGTGGGGGCCTGGTCAGAGGGGTGGGGGAAGAGCTGCTGGTTCCCAGGAAGAGAAGGGATCCGTGCCCATCTCTCTGCTGATGAGACCAGCTCAAGTGATGCGTGCCACCAAGCTGAGCTTTAGTCTTAAGTCATTCGTGACCAGGCCTGTCCCAGTGAGTCTTGTGTATTGTGGTAGAACACGTACTTAGGCCATCACCACGCTGTGTTATTTATTATCTGTATCCTTCAGCAACCGCACAGTTCCTTTCCTCCCCTGCTTGACCCTCATCGGTGAATTTCTTCAAGTTACTTTATGGTGTCTGCCTGCAGAGGGCTCTGTTTTCATATGGCTGTGTAGTAAGGTTAGGACAGTCCAGCCGGACTCCTCTTCTCCCCATCAAAATGCAAAGGACAAAAGGCCACCACCAGCCTCTGCCTCTGGGAATGCAGCTCCTTGTCATGCTGGGCAACTTTGGTGTGTAAGCATTTCACAAAACCCCTACACGTGGACATTTGCTCTCCAGAGGCCAGTCTGAACACGGCAAAGAGGAGTGGAACCGGCTCTGAGCTGAGTCGTGAGAAGCTGCTCCTGCATCCCAAGCCAGTTTTTAATACATAACATCCTACAGTGTATTCTCGCAGTGCTCAGGACCTCTCCCCACTAGTCATTAGGGCAGATTATATTAAATGAAACCAAAAACCTTAAAAAAAGGACTCAGAAATACTTCCTGCCCTAGTCTGTTTCCTTAGTTGAGCGGTGCAGTGCGGAGGGCGGGCAGCCGGATGGAAGCATCTCCGGTGTCGCTGGTGTCCTTCACTGAGGCCTCTGTGCCAGTCGAGCCCCTGGCATTTTTGCCCCAGACCGCCTTCTGCCTAGTGCTTTCGTTGTGTTTTAGTTGGTCTAGTCACAGTCTGCTCATGGAGATTATAATAGTAAGACAAAACTTAACTGTGTTTGCTGTGTGCCAGTGTTCTAAGCATTTTTACATACACTAACTCAGTTAATCATCATGCCTACCTCGCAAGGTAGGTTGTTTTTAAGCCCAGGATCACATAGCTAGTGAGTGCTGGTGCTGAAGTTCAAACTCACAGAACCTGGCTCTGTAAGTCTGTTCTCTCACGCATGCTGCCTCCCACTTCCATCCCAAACCCACATGGCTTTTCTCTCGTGTAGATCATTGTCAGCATTGTAACTGGCCTCCCAGGATGTCATGCTAGCGAGCTCTGTGCTTTCCTGGTCACTCTGCATAAGGAGTACGGCAGGTGAGTATGGCTGCCGCCTTTGCTTCGGGAAAAGGGATTCTGTGCCTGGGCCTGCCTGGACACTGGGGAACCCTGGACACGTTCTGACCATCGGTGTAGTTGGTATCCGTAAAGCAGCTACATCAGTCCATTCCTTTGACACATTTGTACCGAGCACTTCCTGTGCTCCAGGCTCTGAGCTAAGTGTGGAGCGCATCTGAATGAACAGGCTAGAACATCTCTGCCCTCCTGGGGCTTACATTCCAGTGTGGGAAGACAGCTGACCAGATAAGGGAAACGGTGTGTCAGCTGATGAAAAGTCCTGTGGAGAAAGGAAAGCCGAGAAGGCTGTAGGGGGTGCTGGGCTCAGAGGCTGGGGGTGGGAGCAGGGATTCCAGCTTTGTGTGCGGTGTTCAGGGAGATGTCACTAGAAGGTGACATTTGAGCAAAAGCTCAAGGAAATGAGGGGGTGAGCCCGTGGATCTCTGGGAAGAGCACTGTGGCAGCAGGACCAGCACAGGCAAGGGCCTGGGAGTGTGCCTGGTCAGGAGGGCGATTCAGGATCAGGGTGGTTAGAACTGGGGAGCTGGTGGATGTGACCCTGCCCAGACCATGAGAGGACTGTGAGTGCAGGTGTGGTTGGGCCATCTCGGCTCAGGTGAAATTGGGACAGTCATTTGTCCATCACTTCCACCTGGCTGGCAGGTTGCTAAACAACCCTTAGCGACTGAACTGGACATTTAGTCTCTAGTCATCCTACCTCAAAGTAAGGCCTCCTTTGGCAGACTGTGCAGGGATTGAGAAGGCTGCAGCCACACTGAGGTTTGGGAATTTTGAGAGGGACATTGTGGAAGCTGGGGAGACAAGTGTTAGAGAGATACGAGGGTGTTACTGGACGTCCTTTACAAGTGCTAAATAGGTGACCAGTCTCCTCCTCATTGCCCTTGCTTTTGTTCTGTAAACATTCTGAGTTCTTCACTCCGCCCATTTCTTACACTCAGCAAGCATTTTACTGTGCGTCAGCACTGTGCTGAATGGCCTTCAGAAAGGGACTACCTGGTCAGGAGTCTTTCTCAACTCTAGAGTCTGTTGACCTTTACCCCTGTGGCAAGGAGTTTCCTGTCAAAAGCTCCAACAGTTGTGGTTTCAAGATACGGGGTTCCCCACCCAGCCAGTGTCTTCTGCCTGTTTCTGTGGTGCCAGGACTGCCCTGCCGGAGGGCTTCACTGGGCAGAATGTCTGGTCACATTTGAATCCAGGGCCAGGCCTTCAGGCAGTGCCATACTGAGATTACCTTTGCCATTTCCAGGTGGATGGTGTACCGCCAGATCATGGATGGCTCTGAATGTTTTCATGCTGCCCACTTCCAGAGGTACCTTTCCAGTGCCCTGGAAGCCCAGCGGAACCTCTCTGCCCGCCAGTCAGCCTACCTCCGCAAGAAGACCAGACTGCTGGTGGTGTTACAAGGGTGAGCACTGGAGGTCTTCTGGGGACAGTGGGGTGGTGTGGAGGCCTTACCACTACTGTTGTTGGTTTTTTTAAGATTTTATTTATTTATTTTTAGAGAGAGGGTAAGGGAGGGAGAAAGAGAGGGAGAGAAGCATCAATACGTGGTTGCCTCTCACACCCCACCCCCCCACTTGGGACCTGGCCTGCAACCCAGGCATGTGCCCTGACTGGGAATTGAACTGGCAACGCTTTGGTTCACAGACCAGTACTCAATCCACTGAGCCACGCCAGCCAGGGCACCACTACTGGCTTATTTAATGTGGGTTATTTAATGTGTGGCTGACATGGGGCACAGAACAAACTCCACGCCTGTATGAGCAGTGTCTGTGCTACACAGAGGCCTTCAATGAGCAAGGACTCCTGTTGGCATCCTGTGACCTAGAGTAGCTGGTGTAGCTTACACGTAAGTTTTAAGTTTGGCATCAACATCATAATACCCCCAAAAGGTGGGGAATTAGGGAGGAGGTTTTCTGGGTAAGTTTCTTTGATAATTCTTAAAATAGTTGTCCCTAACCCTCTTCCCTCACCATGTAGGCGAGGGAGCACCATCTATTTCAGTCCTCCCTCCTGTGGAGCTGCTGAGGTGGCCCCCATGCTCTGATCCCCAGCCCCACCATCTTGAGGATGGCTGGTCCAGGAGGGTTTCCTGAGGCTCTCAGTGAGGAGCTTGCATAGCCCAATTGAACAAGGAGCTCGCTGGGAGGACAGCTTTGACACTGTGTGCTGTGCTGCAAGCACCCTGGCTGCAAGGAGTTGTCCTTGACCTCTCGTAAGGCCTTCCTGGAAGGGGCCCCATGCAGCCCCATCACCCCCTCCGGCCAGAAGAGAATGTGCCAGAAAAGCAGGCTATATACTCTTCATTGGTGTCATTTTGGTTGGTAATCAAGACTTTTGGCAGTTCTCACCAAGTGTTTTCGTCCTGTGCTGTATTTTGTGCTCATAATAATGAGTATTTGCAGTTGGCTCATTGTTTCCAGTAAAGAGTAGACCCAGATGCAAAGCGCTGTTTGGACTCCCAGGTGTGATGGTGAGACCTGGAGGAAAGCTTAGGGCGGTGGTTCCTCAGCAGGAAGTGGGCAGGGCTCTGCACCCCACCAGGCCTTGTTCTCGCCCCTGCCCTGGGCTTTCCTCTGTCGGCCCCTTGTCCCACTTGTGGGCTGAGGTTGGAAGCCACAGAGCAAGAGTCTGAGTTTGTAACTGTTCGTTCTCTTCTGGTTTTTTCCATCGCTTCAAATGGTCGAAAGAATGGATTGGCCACTGTCAGAGTTGAGAGTCAGTGGGGGAATGGACCTGGAGTCAGATTTGGCAGTTTAATATCCGGCGACTAAGGTCATTTTCATCTTCTGTCACTTCAGAGAACACCGTGGACTCCTTGTCTCTGATTATACAAGTCTGCAAAAGTGTCAGCTGTCCCAGCTGCGCTGCTCTGCTCTGCAGTGACGGTATGGCCAGGCCACTCATGTACTCTCAGACTGAGCCTTTGCCCAGTCACAGTCCCGGGATTCTGAGGGCCTCAAATTTCCCAGCGGACTCGAGCCAGGATATCAACTAAATGCTGTGGCTCTCACTGAGACACTGGCCTTACAGAATGGGCCCCTTTGCTTGAGGACCAGCAGGGAGCTTGTGGCAGCCTCCTTTTTGAAAGTCTGTCTCCTTAGGGCTGGACCTGCGAGCCCAGAATCGAGATTGCTGATGAAGGGTGACCCCAGAAGCTTCTCAGATTGAGAATGTATTCCTTTAATGTTACTTTAATCTTCATTTATAGGATTGTTTGGGGGAAACCCGTGGTTAGGGAAGTTTTCTTTTGCCCCTAGAGTGGCCTGGTGCCATTGGACTTTCTGCAGCAGTGTGGGCAGCGGTATTCAGCTTTGACATCAGGTAAAGCTATTAGTTGTTGCTGTAAAAATTAGTGTATTTTGAAGTGATGAGATTTTTTTAAAAGATTTTATTTATTTTTTAGGGAGGGAGAGAGAGAGAGAGGGAGAGGGAGAGAGAGAGAGAGAGAGAGAGAGAGAGAGAGAGAGAAACATCAGTGTGTGGTTGCTGGGGGCCATGGCCTGCAACCCAGGCATATGCCCTGACTGGGAATTGAACCTGCGGCACTTTGGTTCGCAGCCCGAGTTCAATCAACTGAGCTACACCAGCCAGGGCGTGAAGTGATGAGATTTTTTAAATGGAGGACAGAACAGTGGTTGCCAAATGCGGGGGTCGGGGGCAGGACGGAGGTAGCTGTAGTTATATGGAACTGAAAACATATAAACACACAAATAAGTCAAACTGGAGAAATCTTACTTTTAAAAAAATAATTTTAAGGAATTTGTTTACAGTTTTTGGAGGGTTGTAAAATGATTCTTTAAATTATCTGCATTTAAAACAAAGCATCTCTCTCAAAACAAAAATTGAATTAATTTAGAACATGTGCCCAAATTGTAGGCTTAAATTGCAAACATAAAACAGAGCCCAAAGGACACTTGAATGGAATATCTGTTATTTCAGAGGAAAGAAAGCTCAAGTCCTACTGGGCTTTTGTTTTGGTTTTGTTTTGTTTTGTTTTTGTCTGTAATAAAGGGAGTACTGACAAGAAAGAGGCAAACATGAAGAACCAGTTTTTTGCCTTCATCATGCATTCAGGCAGTTTAGCCAAAGTGGCCAGATGCAACCTGGCACCTGGAGTGACCTGCTTCCTTCTGTGGTGAGGGCTGCCTCCTCCTGTGTGGAGGCCACGCCCAGGATGATTACTGTAGGGCAGGGGCTGGACAGGGAGGCAGGGTCTAGCAGGACCCTCTTAATAAGTAGAGTAAATGTCACTTAGGGTCTCCTTTCTCGCCACAGTGGCTCTTGGCTGCAGTGCATAGATGCATTCATGTAGATGCACCAGATGCATTGGCCTCACCAAGGAGCCTGGGGTGAGTTTTCACTCGAACTTTCTGTATTAAAGTAAATGAAGGTTAATGGAATGCTCCGAAAACCTGGGAATTCCCCAGGCACCCTTCCTAAGGGTGAACCTGTTGTATTAGAATGACCAAAATCTGCAGGACTGGCTTGTAAGTCTTTTTTCAGTTTTTTATCCTAAAAATAAGAGCCCTGGCTGGTGTGGCTCAGTGGATTGAGCGACGGACTACGAAGCAAAGAGTCTCTGGTTTGATTCCCAGTCAGGGCACATGCCTGGGCTGCAGGCCAGGTCCCCAGTAGGGGGCACATAAGGGGCAACCACATGTTGATGTTTCTCTCCCTCTCTCCCTTCCCCTCTCTCTAAAAATGAATAAAGTCTTTTTTAAAAAGATAGAATTGCTTCAAATTTGTTTAAGACAGAAAGGAAGGAAGGAAGGGAAGGAAGGAAGGGGAAAAGAAAGAAAGAAGAGCCTCTATAGGCTTGTATCAAACATGGAGAAAAAAAGACTCCAAGCACTCTCTTTTTTTTTCGTTTTTCTTTCTTTTTTTTTTAATAGAATCAGGGAAAAGCTGACACTGAGGAGCAAGGCTGGAACACTTAACCACAAGAGTTAAATCTATTGAACATGGCCACAAAGAGATTGGAGGGCAGCCAGCACGCATCAGTCCTGCTTACCACGGTGTGCTTAAGGGACTGAAGTGCAGGCAGTTAGGGGCTTCTCCTGGCATCCAGGCCCTCCCAGGCACCGCAGAACCAATGGGAAGAGCCCCACATGGTAGTACACACATCTGCCCAGGCATGGGGAGAAGCCTTCAAGGAAAACCAGTGAGCAGAGGGCTCTCTCTAAAGGCACCCTGGCTGCCTGGCCATAATGGGGCCTGAACCTAGCTCTAGAACCTAGCACTCCCTATTCTTTACTAAAGCGCTGCTGGTTCGTAGGGACCTCGGCAGACCTTTGGCGGCGGGGGTGCTAAAATTGTGATCTGGGATAGAGCCACATGGTGATTTACAGGTGAGTGGTGTGTAGTGACTCAGGAAATGGCTCAGGCAGGCTGTGCCTATCCTCTCAGCCACCATGACTGGCCTCCCTAGGATCCAGGCCCTTCCCTCTACAGAAACCTTTTGGTCCATAGGATGGGTCAGTCAGGAAAACGTTCTCACAAGGTGAAAAGCACATGCTGTCTCTTCGAGTGGCCATGTATCTCCCTGGGGTTGGGCGTCCAGTTCGTTCATTTACCCTACTTTAGGCACTATAAATCAAAACACTCAACTGCCTTCATTTTAACTGCAGACACAGACTGTAAACAAATAAATGAGAAAATACAGAGAATGTAGCTGACATCAGTGCTTTGGAGAAGAATTGGGGCAGGGGCAGGTTGGACCAGGGAGGGGGTTGCTGTGTCACATAGGCTGTATGAAGTCAGGGGACACCTCCCTCATGAGGGAGTGAGAGAGTAAGCCTTGCAGACATCTGGGTGAAAAGAGCATCACAGGAGAGGGGACAGAGAGTGCCCGGAGGAAGTATGCCTGGAATGTTCTCGGGAGAGCCAGGAGGCCGGAGTCGCTGGGTTGGATAAGGAAAGGCAGAGTAGGAGAGCCAGCTCTCTTCTGCAGTGTGGGGGCCAGATCTTGGAGGGATGCTGGGCCATCGTAAGGCCTTTGACTTTCATACTGAGTGGGATGGAAGCCACTCACTCAGTGGCTTAGCACAACAGGATGAGTCCGATCCCTCTGGCTTCTGTGTCGAAAACAGGCTGGGGAGAGGTGAGGACAGAAGCAGGGGGGCCATTGAAGCAGCTATGGGGCTGATCTGGGCAAGAGATGGGAGCAGTTTGGACCCAGCGGTATGAGCAGCGATCTCATTCTGGTTCCGTTTTGAAGGTTGAGGAAAAAGAGAGTCAATGATGACCCTAAGCAAATCTTTCGACCTAGCAGCTAAAGGAGCGGAGTCTCCTCTGATGAGGACAAGGCAGGGGGAGTTGGATCGTGAACATATTAACATGAAATATCAAATTGTCCCTGGACATCTGGAGTTCGGAGGGAGTTCCAGTCAGGAGATACAATGCAAGGGTATTTGACGTGTCTGCTGACCTGGAGAGGTCCCCTAGGACCCCCTTTTCTCTCTTGCCCACATGTTCTGTGAGTTGGAAGGAGAGGAAAAATCTATTTTAAGGAAAATAGACCAATGCAGGAGCTCCTAACGTAATCAGAAAACAGGCCTAAGGACAATGAGTCCCCCGCTCTGAGCCGCAGAGTCGCCTGTACAGACTTACTGTACCCTGAGGGTTGGGGGGGTGTACTTCTGCCCACTCTTTCACAGTTCTGAGGACTAATGGGACTCGGGGATGCAGAAACACTGGACTCCAGCGGCTCTAAATCGTGACGTCAGATGACCCCAAGAACCCAAGCACCACTCCTCATTTTGGTTTTCCCTCCGCCCTGGCTGGCTCAGCACTCAGCATTCTCCTATTCCCCTGTCCCGCTCTCCAGCCCTAGTCAGTAACCTAAGCATCCCTTTTCCCCCCAGCTACATGGACATTATCGATGTTGTCCAGGCCCTGCAGACGCACCCCGACCCAAATGTCAAGTCCTCCTTCACCATCGGTGCCATCACGGTGTGCGTGGAGCCCCTGAGCTGCTACATGGAGCACAGGTACGCACTGGGGCCACCTCCAGCCCACAGGATGTGCTGGGTCTAGTATACGGAACACGATTTTCTCCCACCCACTAGACAGAGACCCATCTTTCTGTGTGTTTGTCTTCTGGAACACATCAGTTTACCTTATGCACAGTAAATCTTCAGTTGTTATTTGATTAGTGCCAGGTTCTCAGAAGACTCCTTTGGACGGGCAGCGTCTGCCAGTTTTGTGTACTGGAGAGCTGTTGGCCTACAGCTTGGAGCTTGAAACAGCTTCTCCCAGAAAGAAATGCCCACGCCAGCCTTTTCTTTTGTCTTTACTGCAGGGCAGAGGCCTATGTCCCAAGGCCTAGGGTTGTCACACATAACTCACAGATATTTTTTCATATGGTTAAGCCATCTTAATGCCATCCTACCTCAGTAATGGACACTCATTCTAACTACTAACATGGGAACTTTCTTTTCTTTTTCTTTTGGAATAATATAACAACAGCAAAGGAAATTGGGTAATAATTCATCTATAATCTCACTAACTCAATGTAACTATGTTTTTAAAGATTTTATTTATTTATTTTTAGAGAGGGAAGGGAGGGAGAAAGAGAGAGAGAGAGAGAAACATCAATATGCAGTTGCTGGGTGCCGTGGCTTGCAACCCAGGCATGTGCCCTGACTGGGAATTGAACCTGCGACACTTTGGTTCAATTCAATCCACACTCAATCCACTGAGCTACACCAGCCAGAGCTCAATGTAACTATTATAATTTTTGTGGATTCCTTTCTGATTTCTTTATGTGCATGCTTTTTACAGGTGTGGTATACATATAATTTTATATGCATTTTCTTAGGTTAACATAGAAATATGTATGTTAACATATATGTTCTTGTATCACACTGGTAATTAATTACATTTTGATGAATTATATAGTCATGTGTGTGGATGAACATAATTGTCTTAACCATTTCTCCACTGTTAATTAATAAGATGTCTCCAACTTTTCACGATTATAAATAATGCTGTGGGAACATCTTTATCCATATAAACTTCTCAAATTTCACATTATTTCCTTAAAATAGATTCCTCAAAGTGATACCATACACTAACTACGTGTATAGAAGTTTTATTGCTTTTTATTCACTTTCCCAAACTGCTTTTTGAGTAGGTTTTACAGTTTACACTGTTCCAGAGGTGTCTGGAAGTACCTATTTTTATCATGAAAGCATTCCTCAGTGGGGACAGTTTCAAGCATTGAATTGTCTCCTCATAGAGCTGTTTAACTTCCTCTCCCTGTAGCCTAGTGGAATATCTCCTGTGTCTGTAATCATGTGGTCTTTCCAGCTAGTCCGTGTTATTATTATTATCTCCTGGCTACTGATTAATCTATCCTTAGACCTTCATCTGAAAAAGCTCCCTTCCTATTTGAGTCCCAAGTTGGTATCTTTAAGTTTCTCATAGAAATTACATTACGGGTTATGTCCCTGATCACCTTGACTGATTCCAAGAAACGTCTTCACCTTCAGCTGTTCTGTCTTTTCTCCAGCTGTGACCCAGGTTCTTCTCTCCAGTAGAAGAGCCACAAGGGTCTGTTTCCTTCTGTCTCAGGTTAGGTTACTGTGGTGGATGCTGAGCATTACCATTGTGCTTTGGACTGCCGCATTGACGCTTACATGCAACGCTTTCTACCATTCATGCCTTCTTTTGCTCAGTCATTTGGAAAAGATGGATTAAAGTAGAGGGAGGTCTAACATGGGACAAGATTACTACCATAAAAAAAATACAAGATCGTAATAAGGAACCAACAAATGGAGGTTACACTTCAGAAAACTTAGCCTAGTCCAGTACTCTTCTGCACTTGTCAAAAAAAGTCGAGAAGAGGAGCCAACAAGTGGGATAGGAAGGGCTCAAGGAGAAGACATAAATGAAAGGCCTGGGAGGATGGCATGAGGGATCTTCTTGGAGTGATGGAAATGTTCTAAAACAATTGTGGTGCTGGTGGCACAACTCTGTAAATTGACTTTAAAAACCGTTGGATTCTACTCTTAAAAACAAGTGAATTTTATGATATGCAAGTTGTACCTCCATAAAGCTATTACATAGAAAAAATTAGAGGAAAAAAGGAGTTCAGCTAACAAAAGTAGCCAAAAAATGAACTGTTAGAGGCCCAGAAAGAAAGACAATACAGTCACTGTGGTGTTGGAAATCTCAATCAAAGGCAGAAACAACGCTCACACCTTGTAGAGCTGCCACTTCCTTCACCAGAACCTAGGGTCTGCCTAACATGCATTCCTTGCCCCACCTTGCTGGCTGCCAGTGGGAGACTTGGGTACATCTGGTTGGTGGAACTTCAGTCACATACCTGCACCAGGCTGCAAGAAGGTCTGGGAAAGCTGTGTTCTGCTGTTTACAAGAGGGTTGGGCTTCCTAAGTTCAAGCCTAGGAAAGGTGTTTGGTAGGTACCAGACAGTCCAAAATATGACCGATGTGCTCTGCAGTGGTCAAAATAATGCTTTATAATATTGATGAACTGGAAATAATCCAAATGATAATTAGAGACCGGTTAAATCTGGGAGTATCCATATAATGGAATACTATTCCAGGCATTAAAAAAAAACTCAGCAGATTTGTATGTACTGTCATGGGGAAATGTCCACAATATTTTGTGAAGTGAGGAAGCAAATTACCAAAATGATACGTGTTTTTAAAATGTTTATTTGTGTATGCACAGGAAATGTCTAGAAGTCTACACACCAAACTATCAGTAGTGGTTTGTTCTGGGCAATGGCCATGTCTTTGGGGACAAGCGTTGGGTGATGGGGAAACCACGTGATATTTTATAGTATGTATGTCTGTTGCTTTTTAAAAATATAATAGCTTCATTGAAATATAATTCACATACTAAAAAATTCTCTCTTTTAAAGTCACCATTTCTTTGTCCTCTCAACCCTTGGCAATTATTAGTCTCTTTTCTGTGTCTGTGGATTTGCTTATTCCGGACGTTTCATATAAATGGAATCACATCATAAGTGGTCTCTGGTGTCTGGCTTCTTTCACTTAGTGTAATGTTTTCCGCTTCCATCCAATTTTGAGCAGGTATCAGCACTTCATTTCTTTTTATAGCCAAGTAATATTCCATTGTGTGGATATACCACATCTCATTTATCCATTCATCAATTGATAGACATTTAAATTGTTTATACCCTTTGGCTATTATACATTACACTGCTATGAACATTTGTGTACAAGTTTTCATGTGGTCATATGTTTTCTGTTTTCTTGGGTATATACCTAGGGGTAGAATTGCTGGATCCTATGGTAACTGTATATTAACTTTTTGAGGAGCTACAAACTATTTTCCACAACTACTACACCATTTACATTCCTCCTGCAATGTATGCATGTTCCATTTTCTCCCCATCTTCACCAGTACTTGCTATTGTGTCTTTTTTATTTTAGCTGTGTTAGTGTAGAATGGTGTCTCCTTGCAGTTTCAATTTGCATTTCCCTAATATAATGATATTGAGAATTGTTTCACTTGTTTATTGGCCATTTGTTTATCTTCTTTGGAGAAATGTCTATTCAAATCCTTTGCCCAGTTTTAAATTGGTTTGTCTTTTTTATTGAATTGGAAGAGTACATATTCTGAATCCAAGTCCTTTATCAGATATTTGATTTGCAAAAATGTTCTCTTTTTATATTCTTGGTGGTATCCTTTGAATTACAAGAGTTTTTAATGTTAATGAAGTTGAATTTATTTTTCTTTTGTTGCTTGTGATTATGGTATCATATCTAAAAAGCTACTGTGTAATCCAAGGTAACAAAAATTTACCCCTGCATTTTCTTCTGAGTGTTTTGTAGCTTTGGCTCTTACATTTAGGCCAGTGCTCTGCTTTGAGTTAATTCTGTAGAAGGAGTGAGGTAGGGGTCCAACTTTATCATTTCGCATGTGGATACCCAATTGTCCTAGCGCCGTGTGCTGGAAAGATTTCTTTCCCCATTGAATTGTCTGGGCACCCTTGTCAAAAATCAGTTGCCTGTAAATATAAAGGTTTAATTCTGGATCCTCAGTTACATTCCATTCATCTGTATGTCTCTCCTTATGCCCCCATCACACTGTTTTGATTACTGTTTTGCAGTAAGGTGTGAAATTGAGAAGTGAGAGTCCTTCAGTGTTGTTCTTGTTTTTCAAATTGTTTTGGCTATTCTGAGTCCCTTGTATTACTGTATAATTTTAAGGATCAGCTTGTCAGTTTCTGCAAAAAAAGACAGCTTGGATTTTGACAGGTATTACATTGAATTTATAGACCCATTTGAGAATTATTGCCATCTTTAAAATATGTCTTCTGCTTTGGCCAGGTGTTCAGTTGGTTGGCACATCATCACAGTGCACCGGGGTTGCGGGTTTGGTCCCTGGTCAAGGAGCCTGTGGGAATCAACCAGTAGGTGCATTGGTGGGTGGAGCAGCGGGGGTCAAAGTCTCTCTCTCTCTCTCTCTCTCTCTCTCTCTCTCTCTCTCTCTCTCTGTGTTGCCTTTCTTCTCTCTGAAAACAATAAATTTTACTTTAAAAAATTAAGTCTTCCAATCCATGAATGTGGATGTGTCTTTTTATTTATTTAGGTCTTTAATCTTTTTTAATTTTTACTTATTGATTTGAGAGAGAGAGAGAGAGAGAAAGAAACATCAATTTGTTATTCCACTTAATAGTGCATTCATTGGTTGATTCTTGTATGTGCCCCAACTGGGTCATAACGATGCTCTGGCTAGGTCTTTCATTTTTTTCAGTATTGTTTTGTAGTCTTAAGTGTACAAGTCTTGTGCTTTTTTAGTTTAATTTATTCCTAAGCATATTTTTTATTCTAAATGGAATAAAAATCCTCAAAATCCTCCTTAAAGATATTCTTTATTATCATACTTTACCACAAAGGAGCCACTCAGGAAAATTAAGTAATTTTCTAAAGGCCATGGCAGTGGCATATACATAATTCATCATGATATAGGGTAGGAAGTAAAATAATAAAAATTAATGCAATTTTATACAAATTATAAAGAAGCAATGATAACTCCCATTTGGATAAGGGAAGAAACCCAGCATATGAATTTGAAGGACCAGGATACCAAAGATGCCAAGTTATGAGAAACTATTCCAATTTCAGGGAATCATAGATGTGTGCAAGTGCCTGTGTTCTGAATGTTTTCTTTGCAGCTGCTTAATGGGTGCAGATTGATGACCCCAGTCTAGGTCAGAGGTTTAAACCAGGAGCATCCAGCCTGTGATTGGATAAGATACCTTGAGGGGGACCCTTGCTCAGCCTTATCTAAAATGCCTCTGACGTGAATTGCTGTGAGAAACAAGCAGGGTGCTAAGAAGGGCCTATAAGGGCGTGTCCTCTAAAGTCACAAACACTTGATGGGGACAGATACTTTCTAAGAATGTATTTGCTGTGGGGGGAGGGGACATTCAGTGAACTGTGAGTGCAGTGGAGTCAGTGTGTTCTTTCCTTGGGAGGCTCTGGTGTGGATGTTCCAGGGCTCTTGACCTTGCCCCAGGGTGCGTTGAGGGTCCCTCCTTGGAATTCTGCAGAAACACTGAGGGAGTCAGGCAAGAGACTAGATCAGCAGCCCAAAAAGTGGTCTTCGTCCAGCTCACTCATCCACCAAGTTTGGTTCCAGTGATGAGTGTCTGGATGTTAAAAATCAAAGAGAAGAATGAAGGCTTGCTGCCACCAGGGAAATTGCAGAAGAGAAAGCCCCCCAGTGTTCTAAACAGCATTGATACCTGCCAGTTAGACCAGAGACATCTCAGAAGTACGGCTTCATGAGCATCTCACTTGCAGGGAAAGAAATCACAGCAGCTCTGTGGTGCCAAACAGACCTGGGTCCCTCCACACACCCTCCCACCTCCTAGCTTCCCATGAGGCCTTGGGCAAAGGGCTCAGAGTACTCAGCCATCCTAACCCGTTCTTCTCCCTCTTACTGCCCAAGGCACAGGGCAGGTGTGAGGACAGAACTAGGTGCTGCATGTGAACTGCCTGCATGGCGCCCAGCCCCACAGTCAGATAAAAGGCACAGTTCTTCTCTGTAGTGTTACCTTTCTCCCTGAGAAGAGCACTATGAAGTGTTAGGAGTTTTACAGCACGGAGAACTTGAGTTTTTCTTTGCCACTTTCTACAGAGCTACCATTATTAACTAACTCACACTTTGGATCAGTCACCCTCACCTGCTTCAGTTCTGACCCAGTGAGCTTCCTGTTTTTCATTCACTGTTAGAGTTCATAATGGGATTAAGGGTTACCAGGATTCGAGGGTGCACGCAAGAGGAAGCACAGCAGCTTTAGCCCTGAACATCCCTGGCTGAGTTAGGTGAATGTAATCCTTCTCATTGTCCCTTGAAGTTCCCCTTTATGAGGACAGTATCTCTTTAGAAACAAACAAACAAGCAAAAAAAAAAAAATCAAAACAAGAAAACCAGCTGTCTTTTTCTGTTTCCTGTAGTCTAGAGACTGGCTGTGCCCGAGTATCCCCTCTTCAACTTTCCAAGAGTTGGCCACATAGGGACTTTTATGGGGTTCCTGGCTTGAGAGCTTTTTGGTTCAAAGCTATGCAAACCTCTTGCATAACCATGGCTATCTTTAATGCTCAGTACTGCCTGTCACTTGCCCTGTCGTGTAGGTCCTTTTCGATATCGGTGATAGACACAGTTGTGTGGGAAATAATCAATAACAGCTCTGAAATCAATGGTTTTAAACTATTTTTCTTTTTCCTCCCCAGATTTCTCTTTCCTAAATGTCTTGACCAGTGTTCACAAGGTAAGCGATGTGCTTCACCCCCTGCTTGCATGCCTTTAAGATTCTGTCCCAATGCAACAGACCCTTCATGCTCCTACCTGCTATTCTAAAATCTAAAACAAAAGCAAAGTTGGTCCCGGGAAGACATTGGCACCTTTTATCTTTATCATATTGATAGACAGGTTTCTTCCAGAGTTTGTCTCTTAATGATGACAGGTTGTCATGGCAACACCTCTTCTGAGCTGGGTTTCCAAGTAATACCAGTAGATCGAATACGTATTCCTAGTCTCTGGATCATCAATATCTTGTATTTGTCCTGCCCTTTGAGTGTGGAGTATGGCCCAGTAGGACTTTCTCCCTTAATATTCCCCCTATATACACTGGAATTTTCCACACCTCCTTGGTAACATTTAGAAAAATCTATCCATCCTGGTCACTACACTCAACTTTGCATTGTCCTACCGGTCTGGCAGCCCTGGAAGCAGCACTTTTTAATCATATTAGCTGTGGTGCCTGGAGACTCAGAATAAATTCCAGATTTCCTGCAGTGGTGATAAAATGTGCATTGTTGTCAGAAGACCTGGGCTCTGGGCTTCCTGAGCCAGCCCAGCAAGTAGAAACCAGATGGAAGAAAATAACTCGGTGTCCCCAGCACAGCCTTGCCCTGCTGAGCCCACTGCCAGCCCACAGGGAGCAGAGACAGCGGAGCGCACCGGAGACCCAGAGATGTTGTCCTGGGAAGCAGCTGAGCTGGGTGCTGCACAGCACGGAGGCCGGGTCACTGGGGGAGGGATGTGTGTGTTGGACTGATGCGCCAGCAGTCTCAAGTCCAGCTCTTAGAGGCCCCTGTGGCCTTCCAGCCACTGCACCCCAGAAGCAGAGTGGAATGGAGGTTGCCTGGGTGCACCCACAGTATTCACTACCCCAGGTAGAGGTTAAGGAGATTCTATGCAGGTTGGGTCAGTGGGCTGTGATGATAGGTTAGATGTGGGACATGAGTTGGAAAAGGAGGTGTCTAGGATGACTCCTAGGTTTCTGGCTTGAGAGATTGGGAAAGTTGGTGGTACCCGTCCTTGAAATAGAAAGCATAGGAAAAAACATAGGACCTGGGGATGACCAAGGAAAGCTGTCTGGTCCTCAGATACATACATACTTGGTGGTCATGGTCAAAGCCAAGGGTCTGAGCTGTAGTCAGCTCCTGTCTGCCCCATTATTTTCACTCTCATGTACCTTGGCTCCTTGACACTTTCTCCCTTGGTGCCCCTCTGCTTTTCTGCACGTACAGCATACAGATGGGTGGGCTGCCCTGGCCAAGAGCCTTGGGGAAGTGCTCTGTCTTCACTGTCCATGAACCTGGACGCTATTACAGGGCAGACTGCATTCTGTCTGGCACTTCATAGGACTGTTTCACTAACACTGCCTCCCAACTCAGTGTTCAAAGGTAACTCGTGTCAAATTCTGTGCTTGTATACAGCTAGGGATGTGGTCAGACATGGGCAGTTGACTTGAGGCCGTATGTGCTGTTTTCTGAACTCCAAGGGGCTTATGGACTGACAGTGCCTTGATAAATATCTTCCCCTTGCGTCTGGGCCCAAGGGACCCTGTGCTGGCCTGACCTGGCTCACCGTGGGCATGGGCTGCCTGGGGAGGGAGGAGATAAAAGGCAAATACAGTTGACTACTGAGCAACACAGTTTGAACTTCATAGGTCTGTCTATATGCAGATTTTTTCAATAAATACTGTATTTTCTCCTCTAAGATTTGTAAAAACATTTTTTCTCTAGCTTACTTTGTCAGAATACAGTATATAATACATATAACATACAAAATACATGTTAATCGACTGTTATCGGTAATGCTTCCAGTCAACAGTAGGCTATTAGGACTTAAGTTTTGAGGGAATCAAAAGTTATATGCAGATTTTTTACTGTAATGTCCCTAACCCCGAAGTTGTTTAAGGGTCAGCTATGTTTTTCTCCTGAGTGGAGGGCAGGATCCGACACTAGTGGACAAACACTTCGTGTCCCGAGGGAGCGTATTGCCTCCCTTTGCCTGTAAAAGCAATGAATCAGGCTCCCTGATGTGTTGCTCTTACAACAGAGGATTATTCTACAATGAGAAAAGGACTGTATTACATCCCCAAGATTATGTGTATTACAGACATGCTAGCATTAGGAAATAATCTCAGTGCTTAAAAAGCTAGCAAGGCTCATTGTGATGTTGGCTTGAACGCAGAGCAGAGACATTTTACCATCATGCCCTGCTTTCAGAAGTATCTATAGATAGATGAAAGAGGTGAGCTTTGTTTTCTCCTGGGCTGCTGGAACCCTTTAGCCCAGGTTAGGACAGTCAAACAGACCTCAGAGATGTTTCTGCACTGTTGGGGATAGGCCAGACTGGTGAGACCTTGGCCACATCTGGGTATCCACTCCTGGATCCAAAGCAGAAGGAGCCTCCTGCCCAAGCAAAATGAACACGCCCACCGTGGCCTCTTCACCCTGTGCTCCAGATAACTGCTGTACCTGCCTCACGGACGGCATTTCCTCTTGGCAGGTGGCAGTTTGCATAGCTGGCCTAAGGAATGCTAGGCATAATCCTTTTGCTTGTTTCTCCATAAAGCAAAGCCCTTTTTCTATGTCCAGTTCTTGACCTAGAATCCCAAGCCCACAAGGTTTGTCTACATGGTGTTTGTGAGGCAAACGGCACTTTGGGCATGGTGCCCCTCAGCCTTTTCTGGCCAGGCCAGGCCTGTGTTTGAGTGCTACCCTGGTTGGCCTGTTTGCACTAGTCTGACTCACAGTTTCTTTTGCCCAGGAAGGTGCTAAACATAGTCCTAGGACCTTTGTAGGTCTTTACTCAGCCTTTCCTGGCTCCTCACTGCAAGATGCACCACAGCTATTCTTGTCTTCCACCCTTGGGAACCTCGTGGGCCTCTTGCAGGATCCGGCCCCCCATGTCTGCCCTCTCTGGAATGTGCTGAGCCTTCTAGAAGCCTGCCCGCTTCCCCACTGTGCCACCTTCTGAGCCTGGCCTCCTCACCTTGCCTCACTCAGTTTCCAGAGTCCCCAGTGACTTCCTGTGGCTGCACCAGGACATGGGGTTCTGGCATCAGGCTCGCCAGGCTGTCCTTCCTGTCTCCCCTTCAGCCTCCAGAGGGAGCGGGCGCACAGGCACCGCCAGTGTCACCTGCAGTAGGAGGTTTCCCTGACACTCTGTTTAAAGGTGGTCCATCTCAGTGTTAAAGCTTCCGAACAGAAAGGGCACGTGAGGAACCTTTTTAAATGGAATAAACAAAATGCTGCCCTGGCTGGTGTGACTCAGTGAATTGAGCATCAGCTTGCAAACCAAAAGATTGCCAGTTCAATACCCAGTCAGGGCGCATGCCTGAGTTTCGGGCCAGGACCCCAGTTGGGGGCATGTAAGAGGCAACCATTTGACGTTTTTCTTCCTCTCTTTCTCCCTCCCTTCCCTTCTCTCTAAAAATAAAATAAATAAAATATTTTTTAAAAATGGTAATACACTCTCCATTTGAATTTCTAATCATATACTGTTACCAAAACAAAGTCTTGTATGGAGACCTTGACAACAGAGGTTTTTTAAACATGTGATTCTGTATATTGCCATATACTGGTATATGCATGGACTGTCTGAGGTTGCACACCCCAAACTGGGTTTCAGTGCTTGCTCCTGGGGAGGGAAGCTAGGTAAAGCTCAGGGTACAGGAGAGGAGGGAGGAAGAAACTGTGCTGACTACCATTTTGTATTTTATGAATTTTATACCAAAAATATGTGTAAACCAATGAGGATGAGAAACTCAGACTCTCATGTGGGAAATGCCTACAGCATAGCTTCTATGGCAGCTGCCTTCGGCGGTCAGGTAGCACGTGTCTTTTTTCACACAGTTCATTTATTCAGCAGATCTTTGCCTGGTGCCGGCTCTAACCCAGCCCTGGGGGGTTGGGGAAGGCTCCTGGAAGAGATGCTATTCATATTATCTACTCATGAATGAAGAGTTGGGCCAGCCAAAGGGAGGGAAGAGATGGTTTCAGCCAAGGGAACAGCAAGCGCAAAGGGCCTGGTGCCCAGAGCAAGCCCAGGGCGCTGACATGCCGCACAGCAACTGGGTCAGGCCAAGAAGTGAAGATATTAGCCTACGTAATTGGACTGCGTTGGAATATTTTAAGTAGAGAAGTGAATAATAAGAGTATGCTTTTGAAGGTTACTCTAACTGCAGTAGGAAGAATCACCTGCACCAAAGGAAGCCTCGAAGTGGGGAGAGTGAGCAGTGACCTAGTGAAGACAGTGCTGAACTAGGTCAGTGGTAGCAGGGGTCGAGGGTGGACGATGGATCCAGGAGCTGTTTGGCACTCACCAGGCCAAGAGGAGGACTCAGGGCCTCCACAGCAGCCCAGGTTTGGGGAACTGGGCAGCCAATGTACCTTTTACCAAGTGACCAGAAGAGGAGGCAGAGCCTAAATGTGACTTACATTGAGTGAAACACCGAAAAGTAGGACCCGGCTCTCAGAACCAAGGAACCAGCAGATCCCATGCTGGCCTGTAAGCACTTAGGAGCAGGCTCCGTGCTCAGCAGGTGAGCTCTGACTCCCAACTCCCGACGCCTGTGGCCCGAGGCCCACTGCGTAGTCTTCCTGTGTGCTCTGTCCCCACTGTGATGTTGCGACCATGGGTGTGAAGCTCCCGATCCCTCTTCCCTGGTCACAAATGGGATGCATCCAGGTGATGTATGAGGTTAGATTCAGTCCTTAGCATTTTGGGATACTTCTCTCATAAGTATGAGTGGTGAGAGGAGAAAAGTGTCACTAACTTCTGCTTCAGACCAGAAGTAGGGGCCAGGGTTCCTAGAGGTTGCCTTAAACTGGTGATGGCCACTCATCCGAACCATGGACGGCAGCCCAGGCTGGTGGAAGTCACATGTCTCAGCTTCCTGCTGGTGTATGAGGCTGGTTTATGTGGTTTCTGTAGACATCCCATCTTGGGGGGTGTTCGGCTGACAGTGACGGTGGTGGTGGGGGCGGGGATAGGTTTCACTTAATGAGTTCTCACTGCCTGTAGGCCCTGTGGTGAACATTTTCCTGATAATCTGGAGGTGCGTGTCACTGTTTCCAACTAACGGGAGGAAAGTTGAACGGTATGCCTGTCAACTCATTCATTAGTAATTAGTGGAGCCCCAAATTCAAACTCAGATCTGCCTGGCTCTAAAATCCATACTATAATTTTTTGAACAATTTTATTTATTTATTTTTAGAGAGGGGAAGGGAAGGAGAAAGAGGGAGAGAAACATCAATGTGTGGTTGCCTTTCATGGGCCCCCAAGTGGGCACCTGGCCTTCAACCCAGGTGTGTGCCCTAGACTGGGAATCAACCCAGAGACCCTTTGGTTTGCAGGCTGGCACTCAGTCCACTGAGCCACACCAGCCAGGGCTGAGCCTTTTTAGATACAGAATTAATGATAACACCTGTGAGAATTCTATTAGAAAGAATATAAACATCAAAAACCTATAAATGAAATTATATTTAACAAAAAATTATGGGTAGTAGGAGATCAAAAAAGTTTAAAGTTGTTAAATGAAGTTACGAAGAGTTATACTCTTTAAAGATGTAAAAGTATCCACTAGAGGAGATAAAATTATAAATGTAACCAACCACAATATATGATGGTGGAGAAGTGGGAAGAATTTAAGACTATACCAACTTCCCCATCTATTATATTAAAAAGCAATAGACATTGTCTAAAGGTGACATTAAAGGAAATAGTAACTTAGATTTAATATTTTTAAATTTTTTAATCTTTTTATTTATTTTTTTTAACTGAAGAGAAGAAACTACAGGAATATTGTATCAGTAAAAATACCAGATTTAATATGCACAAAACCAAGAAAACCAATGATGCCAGATACCGAATTTATATCGCATTGTCCTTTGAATACCCAGCAGGAATTAATTTTTTTAAAGATTTTATTTATTTTATTTTTAGACAGAGGAAAGGAGGGAGAAAGAGAGGGAGAAAAACCTCAATGTGTGGTTGCCTCTCGAACACCCTCCATGGGGGACCTGGCCTGCAATCCAGGCATGTGCCCTGACAGGGAATCGAACCAGTGACCCTGTGGTTCTCAGGCTAGTACTCAATCTACTGAGCCACACCAGCCAAGTCTATGTTGATAATTCTTGAAGCCTGGTGATGGACACATGGGAATTCATTACACTGCTTTTTCTGTTTCTATGTTTGAAATTTTCACAATATTAAAATGTTAATAAAATGGTTGAATAATAAAAATGCAAATGTTCTTTATAGCAGAAATGGTATATATGCTATGATCATAATTATGTAAAAATAGGAATAAGTATGGAAAAGATATAATTCTGTTGGCGTGGTGGAATGCGTTAACTTCCCTGATTCTCAAATTCTCTTTGGTGTTGCAGATTTTACTTGTATACTTTCACAGAAAGGTTTGGAGTGGTCGTGGCCCACTCTACAACCTCTCGTCACGTGAGCCACTCTTCCTCATTGTATCATTACGTGATTGTCTGTGTTAGCACTTACCTCACAATTACGGGTGTGTGTGTGTGTGACTGCTTCTTTACTGTGCGCTCTGAGAATCTACTGGTTAGCACCTGACCTGTGGTTAGTGCCTGGTAAATGTCCATGGTCTGAACTGGTGAAGGTCATTGGCACCAGTTCCTGAGGAGGTCAGGGATAGGAGATGCGGAAAGGGCCCTTTGATGAAGAAGCTCAGGGTCTTAGCTGGAAAGCAGAATTGAGAAGATGGGAGGTGAGGAGGTGAGGCAGCTACAGTGCTGGGGCCATTCACTCCAAGCGGTGGCAGTGGCAGAAAGGGGAACAGAATGATGGCCGTGTCTGTTGGTGTTGGGGATCAGCAGTGTCTGTACAAAGGGGCACTGGAAGAGATGATGGGGAGGGAGCAAGGGCCCACTTTTGTATGAACCCTCAGCCCCACTCAGGACTCTGAAGGCTGAACAATTCTTGGTTTTATCCCCCAGGCCTGGTGAGTAATGTGGTGTTCACCAGTCACACTGTGGAGCAGAGGCACCCTCTCCTCGTTCAGCTGCAGAACCTCATCCGGGCTGCCAACCCTACTGCAGCCTTCATTCTTGCAGAAGACGGGATCGTCACCAGGTAAATCTACCAAGTGCGCGTCACCCCGCAGGGCAGGCGCTTTCTCAGACACAGCAGACACCCTCTGGCAATGTGCCACAGGGTCCTCTCACTGTCTCTAAGACCTGAGCATTGATGGATGCGCTTTTGATGCTGGGTAAACCACCAGCAGGACCCTATGTGGCAATATCCTGTACTGTTTTTAGGTATTTTAGTTTGATGCCTTTGCATTTTTATTCATTAAGGAATGAAAACCAATAATTTCTCAACGTTCCTTTGTTACCATGTAAGAAAAATGGGATAGGGGACATAGAGAAATCATGTTTTTACTTCATGGACTTGGGTTCACATTACAAACTAAAAGAAGAGAATTGGTGATTTCGTTCAGGGGTGTGTGTGTGTGTGTGTGTGTGAGAAAACAGCTGGTGTGTAGCAGTTTTGTTTGCTCAGTAAGGATACTAAAAGGTGTGCATTTTTATATAGTTTTGACTTTTGAGCAATGCAAATATTTTACATATTCAAAAATTAAACGAAATCAACAAGGAGGGGAAAACTTAAATACAAGCATAAAGTGAATTTACCTGCATGTTGAAGAGTAACCACACACACACACAATAATTAACTCAGGTAACTTTTTAACATAATCCTCTGTGTTGGAATCCAGATTCCAAACAACATCACTGATTAGAGAAGGGAGATCATAAATATGAAATGGGAAAGGTGAGGAAAACCCTGCAAATGTTGGAATTGAATTTGGGGGAATTCAAATTTGTTATTTCAAAAAGTGTATATTTACAAGCTCTCTCCATTCAAAGGGACCAGAAATACTAATACCACAGTAGCAGTAAACACCCTACCTCTAGTTCTTGGTTTCTATGCACCAGTCCACTGGAAGTTGTCAGGGCTCCTTGGAGGGTTGGCTCATTGCAGGTCTAGGGCAGGGGAAGTCCGAGGTGAGCCTGGAACATTTTATGCCAAAAAAGGAAAGGTTAGTGTAAATATGTTAAAAGGATATGAGAGCTAGCTTAAGAAACTCTCACTAGCCAAATTTGGAAGAACTTGAGCATAAGAGAAAACGGTAATAATGGACTATAGAACACGGAATAAAATGAGTCTGCAGCGATACTAACAAAATGGGGAGGGGCGGAAAGTGAATCTTTTTTAACAGAAGAATGCTAAGAAATAAATAAGGATTTCTAAAACCAGAAAGTCACCATCTTGTAACCTTTAGTATCATATTGAATTTAGGCAGGAATCTTCAAAGGATAGAAAAAGCAGTGGGTGACAGACTGTTGAGGAAAAGGATGTTTTCTAGTCTCAGAATCACTCCACAGACTACATACTACTTATGAAGAGGGAAAGTGCATTCACAACGGTGGGGAGCAGGGGCGGGTCCTGTAGTCATGATATTGACCAAAAGATTAAGCTTAGTAATGCCATCGTGTGCCTCCTCATGTGATGCTGTGGGAAGGACACAAGATCACCTGGGTATTCATCTTGCCAAAAATGTTTAATGGAATCTAATCACGAGGAAACAATCAGACAAACCCAGGTTGTGGGGCACAAGACCATTCCATGTACTCTTTGAACATGTCAACACCATGAGAAACAAACAAAGTTGCAGGAATTGTTCTGGATAAAAGGAAAATAAAGATTGTAGCCCTGGCTAGTGTGGCTCAGTGGATCGAACACCAGCCTGCGAAATGAGTAAATAAAATATTTTTAGAAAGAAAGAAAGAAAGAAAGAAAATAAAGATTGTAAACTTGATAAGTGATCCTTGATTGGATCTTGGGTCCCTTTGCCCCCTAAAAAGGGAAAATTTGAAAATGAATGTATATGAAATCAATACTTCTCCAGCTTTTTAAAAAAATATTTTATTTATTTTTAGAAAGGGAAAGGGAGAGAAAAGGGGAGAGAAACGTCGATGTGTGAGAGATACACCCATCAGTTGCCTCTCACACTCCCCCAACTGGGGACCTGGCCCACAACCCAGGCCTGTGCCCTGACTGGAATCCAATCAATAACCTTTTGGTTCACAGGCTGGCGTTCCATCCACTGAGCCATACCAGCCAGAACTCGTACTTTTGCTTGTTTGTTTTTAGACAGAAGGGAAAAGAGGGAGAAAGAGAAGGAGGGAAGCATTGATTGGCTGCCTCTCGCACACCCTACTAGGGACCTGGCCTGCAACCCAGGCATGTGCCCTGAGTAGGAATTGAACCCACTTCCCTCTGGTTTTCAGAACAATGCCCAACCCACTGAGCCACACCAGTCAGGGCTACTTCTCCAGCTCTTAATGTGCATATGAATATCTTGGGGATCTTATTAAAATGAGCGTTCTGATTCAGTACATCTGGAATGGGACCTGAGATGCTGCATTTCTGATGAGCTCCCAGGTGATACCTGTGCTGCTGCCCCACAACATTCTGTTCCTTGACAATAGTATTGTGGTTCTGTAAGAGAAAGCCCTTGTTCTTAGGAGATGCTTACTGAAATATTTAAGGGTGAAATAACAGGAAAAAATAGGTATGGTATATGTGCTTACAAGGTCTGTCCAGAAGGCATCCAGCCATGTAATATGAAAATAGAGACATCTAGCCCTGGCTAGTGTAGCTCAGTGGACTGAGCACCAATCTGCGAATCAAAGGGTCGTGGGTTCGATTACCAGTCAGGGCACATGCCTGGGTTGCAGGCCAGGTTCCCAGTAGGGGATGTGCAAGAGGCAACCAAACATTGATGTTTCTCTCTCTCCCTCCCCTCCCCTCTCTCTAAAAATAAATGTTTTAAAAAAGAAAGAAAATAGAGACATCTACTGAAGAAGATACAAGATATAAAAAAACATTGCACATAGGACAGTGATACCTCAGTCCCCTTCAAAATAGGCTCCTTGGGACCACACAGTTCTCCCAGTCCCTGTCAGCTGCCCTATCATATTTTCCTGAATCTCATCGACAGTCTGAAATCTCTTTTCTTTCAAAGGTGATTTTAGTTTTGGGAAAAGCCAGAAGTCACAGGGCACCAAATCTGGGCTGTAGGAGGGCTGAGTCACCTGGGTGATTTGATGTTTCGCCAAAAAACTCTGCACGAGACATGATGCATGAGCAGGCATGTTGTCGTAATGAAGCAACCAATCACCAGTTGCCCATAGCTGAGGCCTTCTGAATCATCGAATAGTTTGTTCAAGCTTCACACAAAATTTGATGCAGATTCATTGCTCTACTCACTCCATCATTTTGAATGTGCCCACAACACAGTGCACATGCTCACTCAAAAGCATCTACCGCCCCCACTGACTAGTACAGTGAAGTCATCATTCATGCATGTGTACTCCAGTCCTCTCTCCTGGCTGCCAAGTTACATCAGTGTCACGCAAACCCTTCTTGTTATGTTAGCAATGGCTGGACTTTTTTCAGACAGGTCTTGTATAAGGAACTTCCCAGACAAGAAAAAGTTGAAGGAGTTCATCACCACCAAACCAGGATTATATGAAATATTAAAGGGTCTTCTTTAAAAAGGAGGGAAATAAAGATAAAAAAAATATGAACAATAAAATAGCAATGAATACATATCTATCAACAACTGAATCTAAAAAAACAAAGGAAAGTTTTTCTGTACAGTCCTTGTTCGTTGTGTATGGGGACAGTGGGGAAAGAGAGCAAAACGTACAGTTAGTATTGATAGTCCTAATTAATCTGTTTCCTGTGTGTTTCCAAAGGAATGAAGACATCGAACTGATTCTGTCTGAAAACAGTTTTTCAAGTCCTCAGATGCTACGGTCTCGATATTTACTGTACCCTGGCTGGCAAGTATCATCATTGCAAAGTAGCTAAAATTTCTTTGTAAACCCAATGATTAATTTATTTACAGAAAACAAAACAAAACAAAAAAGAGACAAAGAGAAAAATGCCAGGTGTGTTCCACGAAGGTGACAATGACAGCTGGAACAACTTGCCATGTCCCAGTGGCTGCTGGCTTTTCAAGGAGCCCAGTGCTTTCTGTCTTGGATTCCAAATTGGGAGCCCAATTTGCTGGATGTTGAGAGTTAGCGAGACATCCTGTGGGCACCAGGCACAACCTCTAGTGAGGCTGAGGTGGTTGGCACGGAACCAAGGAGTCATAACCTTCCTGGGTGAGAGAGTCGCTCCTGAAGATACAGTCTGTCCTCTGAAGTTTCCACCCGACAGGTGGGTTCTCTGCTGATAGGGCCCGGGAGGTGATGCGTCTCTGCTGGAGGCCTCGCAGCTGGGAACCTCTCCTCCATAGGGGTAAGAGAAGGGAGACACTGCCAGGCGCACTGCAGTCACACTAATACCAGCAGCTCGCCAGCACTGACACACTGTTCTGAGACTGCGCACTCCGGCACGGTAACCACTGGCCACGTTTGGCTATTTAATACAATGTAAATGACTGGAAATTAAACAAAATGTAAAATGTAGTCATTCAGTCATATCAAACTTGATTGGAGTCACATTGTCCTTACTTAAACAGTAGGTGAGTAGCTCATCCCTTCTGCTTGAACAAGACAATTATATCTTTGCCAAAAAGAAACAGATGGAGCTTCTGGGGTGAAACCCTCCTCTCCGGTGGCTGCAGATCCTGACCCTTTTGCTGCCCACACCTGTGGGCCTGAGCCTGAGGCTTCTACTGTCTGCACCTGGTGCCTAGGGACACACCCCTCCTCCGGCCCTGACTCACTGTGGGCACGTGAACGCAGCTCAGGAACAGACTCTGCTGGAGGCACACTGATCAGCAGAGACCTGGGTGTGAGGGCTTCGTTAGAAGGCTCTGTGAATCTGGTCTGAAACCTCCCCTTTGACAGGAAAATCAGTTCGTGTACAGAATCGGAGATGGGGGGCCTTAATTCACTCCTTGGGCTCAGGAATAATTTAGTCGTTTAACAAGGCGGCAGCCATGGGACTCCTGCTCATCCCTGTACATTGCTCCCCTCCCCTCTTGGGTCAGTGGGTCAGGGCCCCACCTCATATGAATGGGCATCTGCTCCAGGACGTGCCCCATTCTATGCTGTGCAGATTCTCAGCCATCCTCCTTTCACAGCCCTCTCTGTTCTCATCGGCCTTGCCCCCGCCTTCCTGGTGGGAGAGTTTCTGGTCTGGGAAGAAACCTTTTGCTCTTACCTCAGCCCCTCCAGATTCCCCTAAGGGTTTGGACTCTGAGCACAGAAGCCAGAGAAACCCATGGTCTCCAAACTTGGGTCGGGGGAAGGGGAAAAGCACATGACGGTCTTGTAAAAAGGTTATGCCACCACCTGACTTTAAGAAATCACAAAAAGTAAGATGCTTCCAACAATATAAAATTCAAAACTGCAGTGCCATTTTAAAACAAAGGAAACTAATGAGAAAATACAGTAGATTGGAGGGAAATGTTGGCATCAAGTGTGGCAAAAGGTTGATACAATAATTGAAAATTTTGTGTAGCTACTTAAGAAAAATAACCTAGTCCATAGAGTTGCAGACACTTCACTTAGGATCAAGTACAGCTAGCAACCGTGCTAACAATTTGTCAGTGATAGTCAGAAATGAAAAGTGATGTCTCACTAGTATTCTAATTGACATTATTGCATTTAAACAAAAATATCTGTAGTAACCATTGCTGGAGGAACTGTTGTGAAACTGAAATGCCCATCTGCTGCTGGGGGTGGGACAGATGATCGCCCTCGAGGCGATTACGCCCTCTCCTGGACTGATTCCAGTCATGGGGATTCATCTGAAGAAAATAATTCAAAAGAAGAAATGACAGTTTCATCACCTTGGAAGCTAGGTGATGGGGGTTCATTATACTACTCTTCTATCTTTGCATATGTTTGAAATTTTCCATCATAAAAAGTTAAGTTTTTTAAATGCTCTGTATGTGGCCATATTCTTAATGAGTCTGTGGCAAGCATTATGTCTGCTGAACTCAAAACTGAGAAAACAGCGCAGAGACTTCCGGCCAAGATGGAGGCATAGGTAGACACACTGTGCCTTTTTGCACAACCAAAACTAAGGCCAACAAAAATTTAGAAACAAAAAAACAACCAGAACAGAGAAATGAACTGTATGGAAGTCTGACAACCATTCATCCAGACTGGGGTACCAGAAGGTGAAGAGGAAGAGCAACAAGTAGAAAACTTATTTGAACAAATAATAAAGGAGAACTTCCCCAATCTGGCAAAGGAAATAGACTTCCAGGAAGTCCAGGAAGCTCAGAGAGTCCCAAAGAGGTTGGACCCAAAAAGGAATACAACAAGGCACATCATAAGTACATTACCCAAGGTAAAAATGAAGGAGAAAATTCTAGAAGCAGCAAGAGATAAGGGGACAGTCACCTACAAAGGAATTCCCATCAGAATGTCAGCTGATTTCTCAAGAGACCTTTCAGGCAAGAAGGGGCTGGAAAGAAGTCTTCCAAGTCATGGAAGGCAAGGACCTACATCCCAGATTGCTCTATCCAGCAAAGCTTTCATTTAGATTGGAAGGGCAGATAAAGTGGTTCTCAGATAAGGCCAAGTTAAAGAAGTTCATCATCACCAAGCCCTTATTATATGAAATGTTAAAGGGCCTTATCTAAGAAAAAGAAGATAAAAAGTAATGAACAGTAAAAAAAGACATCAAACTCAGTTATTAACAACCATACCTAAAACAAAAGCAAACTAAGCAAACAAATAGAACAGGAACAGAAACACAGAAATGGAGATCACATGGAGGGTTAGCAACAGGGGAGTGGGAGGAGGAGAGAGGGGGAAAAGGTACAGAGAATAAGTAGCATAGATGGTAGGTAGAAAATAGACAGGGGGAGGGCAAGAATAGTATGGGAAATGTAGAAGCTAAAGAACTTGTGACACATGGACATGAACTAAAGTGGGGGGATGTGGGTGGGAGGGGGTGGGCAGGGTGGAGGGGCGTGAAGGAGGAAAATGGGACAGCTGTAATAGCATAATCAATAAAATATATATTTAAAAAAAGAAAAAGAAAGAAAATAGCGTAGAGATACCCCAGGCCTTAGGTCCTTCTAGAGAGAGTATACACAGCCAAATACACAGTCTGTTAACTGCCCTCAACAATGGCAGGACACAGTTGGAGCCCTTGAAACAGTGGGAGGGCGTTCTGAGGAAGAGCTCCAAGGGTACCTCGAAGGACAGAAAGGACCCCAGTCACAGGTGGGGCACGGCAGGCTTCAGAGGCGGAAGGGGTCTTTGGCTTCAGGAGAGTGGTGGTCTAACGGAGACAAAGCCCCCCTGCTCTAGTGAGGCAACCATTCTTCCTAGTCTCAAGGTGAAAGAGACATGTATACATTTAAACGTCTTATATACAAAATTGCCTACAAGTAAGAGACAATTCAAATAGTACAGGATAAATGGTATGTAGTTCACTTCAAAGGAGTATATAACACTCAAGGCCCCAATTACTTGTACTTAAAAAGTTTTTTAAAACTTTTAAAGGTATGAAGGTAAATTTGATCCTGGATCAGTCTTTCCACTAATGGTTCAGATCTGCGTGTGGTTTGGGCGTCCCCTGGAGAAGACTCGCTTTGTGGCCAAGTGTAAAGGTAAGCCTCGGCCAGGACGTGTCCCAGACTGCGCTTTTTAATATTAGAATTCTGTGTGCTGTCTCAGGCAGAGGGATTTGAGAACTCGGGAACCTCCCACCCCTGGAAACAATGGCAGAGCCGCTGGGGAGGACTGGGGGGGATAGAATCCATGGACCCCAGACCCTAGAGTAAGATGCCTCCCCAAGTCCCTAACCCTCCCAGCTGTGCCACCCTGAAGTTGATCTCTACCCCAAGGCAGGTGACAGTTCTGTTCTCTTCCTCCACCAGCAATTCAGTCCTCCATCAAGCCAAGTCCCTTCTCTGGAAACATCTACCACATCCTGGGCAAAGTGAAGTTTTCAGGTAACTGGGGGGTTGGATTTGGGAGCCCTGCGCTATGGAGTCCATAGCCTCCACTGGTCTTGTGCAGACTGCTGATGCTTCTCAGGCTCTGTGTCAGAAATCCTCCCCTGGGGGCCTTCCACCACTGACCTCTTCCAGTCGCCCCTCTCAGCCAAGGGCCCTCCTTTCTTCAGGGCCTTCTGCTCTACAGTGGAGGACCCATCTGTCCCCCTTCCCCTGGATGGTCTGCCTAGGGCCTCTCCTCATAGTGCCTTGACTCCTTGTTCCAGAGACGCAAACCGTCATCCGTGGCTTCTTTCTAGACTTACCACCAGGAGCTGCCCCGACGCTGAGCTCTCCAGCTCCCGATCTGTTTCTGTCAGTCACTTGCCTTCTCCCTTCTGCCCAGTAGGCCTGGTCACCAGCCTCAGACCTCTGGAGCCCCTGGGACCTGAAGTCTGTCTTTCCTGGGCGGGGGGTCAGGGAAGGCGGCAAAACAAGAAGGAGTTGCTCAGCTCTACATCAAGGAAGGGAAGACTGTTCCAGAGGAGAGGCACAGCATGTGCTGTGGACCCGAGGCCAACGGGGCACACGTCAGGAACCAAACAGGGTGTATGTGGCTGGGGTCTAGGGCAAGGGAGGGATTGTGTCCATTAGGGTGTCTTTGGCTCTTATTACAAAAACTCCACGTCCACCAGTGGGTGTTAGCTACATAACAGGAAGCCGAGAGGCTGGGCCCCATAGCAAGGCCACTGAGGACCTAGGTAACGTGTGGCTCTGCAATCTTCTACTCTTGGTGTCAGGTTGTCCGCAGGTACCCAGCCCTCATGGTGGCCAGGTAGCACTGCAGGTCCTGGTGTCAAAGCCAGGCACAACATCCAGCCGACAGAGGGGCAGGCTCTTCCTGGGGTGTGCTCATCAGCGCAGACCCCCTTGCTGAAGTGCCTCCTCCCAGTTCCACAGCAGGTGTCTGCTCACGTTGGCCAGGACTGAGCTACCGTGCCTTCCAGGACTCGTGACAAATGGGGAATTGGTGTTGGAGGAAGAAGGGGTGCTGGGCAGGCAACCATTGGTGTCTGCTACAGGGAGCTGCTGAGGGTTGCAAGCATGGAACCATCTGGGTCTTCAAACGGAAGAATTAGATAACATAACCTGTAAAAAAGAATCTCTCAAGGTCCTTAACCTGTACCAGTGGCCTAATCGGTACCACCGAGTCTGAAACTCGGGCCCTCTCCTCAAGGCCTCTTCCCTCCGGCGCCAGCAGATAAGCCCCCGCCCGTGTCGGGGATCTTAGTGCCTTCATCTTCCATCCCCGGTCACGAGCTCCTTTTCTCCTTTATTTCTACCTCTCATCAACCTCTTTCTAGTTCAGGTTAACCTCTCTCTGTCCTGGATCCCGTTCTCATCCTGCCTTTTAGGGGCACCCCGACCTTTTCTCTTACAGTCCCCTTCTGGGTTAACCGTGCCCATCTGATCACTGAGTCGGCCAGCCTGGAAACGTACACTGCTCCTGCCTCTCTCACGTCACCCTCTCTCGCTTGCCAGCGAGCACATCAGCTCTGCACTTCCTGTGAATCTGTCCCGACCATCAGTCCTGCGTCAGTTCCCAGTGTAGCCGTATCCTTTGGGCCCTTGTCTCCGGGACCCACCTGTGTTCTCCTTGCAGACTCGGAGAAGACCATGGAGGTCTGCCACAACACTCTGGCCAATTCCCTGAGCATCGCGCCCGTCCTGGAGGGACCCACGCCGCCACCCAGCTCCCGAGGCACACCTCAGGACGGCAGCGGGCAGCAGGAGTGCTACCTCGTGTTCATCGGCTGCTCCCTGAAGGAAGACAGCGTCAAGGACTGGCTGCGGCAGTCGGCGAAGCAGGTGGTTTTTGCATCCCGGACAAACCTGGCACAGACATGACCAGCACACCTCAGGGCTGCTGCTGGCCTTGAGGCAGAAGCCCCTCCCTGGTGCCTGCCCCATGGCCCGCCTTCAGGCTCAGCCAGAGTTTTCAGGGACCCCTAGAGAGTGGGGGCAGCCACTCGGGGCAGACTCAAGGCTGGCTTGTTCTCGCAGCCATTTCCAGTTTTACTTCCAAAAGCAGACTGGAGTTATAAGGTGGGTGAAACCTAGTAGTTCCGTGCGGAACCTGGGTCAAACTGGCTGTTCCCTAGCTGAACCAATTCAGAGACTCTCCTGAAGAGACTCTCAGAGGTTCTGAGCCCAGAATCTCCTGTTCTTGGGCTTTCTCTCTAGAAAGGAATGAACAATAAAGATATATTTAGAGCCTTTTGCAATCCAAGACTCCAGGCATGCGTAACAGTGACCCTAGGCCCTGGGGACAGGTGCAGGGGAAGAGTGGCTTTCCTGTAGATGCACTCAGCTTCTTTGGTGCAATACTGCAACCACAACCACCAGACAAACCGGACTGGAGTTAAAATTCTTAAGTACACTGCAAGCTTTGGTGTTGAGCTTCTTCACACAGCATCAGGAGGTCATCCTAGAACTCTGGAAATGGAGTTGTCCGGGGCCTGGGGCCTTGCAGAAGCTGTTTTTGGGACCTGTCTTTTATACTGAGGAATGGCTGCCTGTCAGCTGTGTCTTTCTCAGACTTACCTGGTAAACTAGGTGGTGCTTGATGATGGGACTTCATCCCTTTGTCTGCATGTCTGTCACTGGTGGGCCTTAGTGCTAAGAATCTGCAGAGGCAGGAACATGCCTATTTGCAAACAAACTGGCCTTCCTCTGCTGCTGCTCCCAGCACACAAGGCCCTGTCGTAGGAAAGTGTCTTCTCAAGGGGCAGACGGGCAGGATGTTGTGTCCAGGCCATGGCCGCACTTGCTTTCCCCTCTGTTGGGACCTGAGTCGTATAACTGGCCCCTTCAGCCCCCACTGGCCCAGGTGCTCCCTCAGCCCTGTTGGGACCTGACCCCTCCCTCCATCTCTACACAGAAGCCTCAGAGGAAAGCCCTGAAGACCAGGGGTATGCTGACCCAGCAGGAGATCAGGAACATCCATGTGAGTACCCTGCCCAAGGGGCTTGAGCCCCCTCCGCGTCCCAAGGCCCTCGTGCACTGTGTAGCTTCCCCCTTTAGGGTTTGCTGGTGTTATCTGGGCCTGAGATCTAGAAGAACCGACGTCTGTGGGAGGAACATGGGGCCCCCTGTTCAAACAGCTGAAGAAGTTTTTGTCTCCTTCCCACCCCCTTGTCCTGGATAAACCCAACAAGGGCTCAGGAAAAACTATCTAGGTCCTGAAGCTGTTCACGGGCAGGGTGTGGAATGCTGAGGTCAGGATAAGAAGCCCCTTGATGGGCCCTCCCATCCTCCAGGCTGACTCCCAGCCTCTGCCCCAGTCCCTCCCCCCACAGGGCCCTTTTCCTGAGAGGTTTGGGGGCAGAGGCTAAAAGAGCACAGGGGTCCTGGCTGGTTTTCTGAGTTGGTTGAAGCGTTGTCCCCTGCACCAGAAGGTTGAAGGTTCAGTGCCCAGTTGGGGCACATATGGGAGGCAACTGCTCAATATCTCTCTCAATCTCTCTCTCTCTCTCTCTCTCTCTCTCTCTCTCTCTCTCTCTCTCTCTCTCAGCAATGAAACATCCTTAAGTGAGGACTTAAAAAATAACACAAAAAATTCAAAATTAAACAAATGAAAATAAAGAAACACAGGGTACAGGCCCCAGCGTGGGCTGCGCCACCCGTCCCAGTGAGGAGCCGGCGGGCAGGAGAGTGCTCTGGGACGGCAGGAGCCCCTGCTCTGCATGTGGGGAGGCCCCACCATAGCCGGGCCCTACAGGGCCTGGGCAACCCTGGATGCTTCTGGGAAGGGCACTGTGGGCAGCTAGCTCAGAAGGACGTCCTTACAGCATGTGCTCCCTCAGAGGCAGACGAACAAAGATTTGAGTGCAAGCAGTTTATTTTGGAAACGATTCTAGGAGACACCAGTAGGGAAATGGGAAAGTAAGAGAGAGAAGGAGGGGAGACAAGCCACAAAGGGCATGTTACCCAACCAGTGCCACTGTGGACGACTGGAGCTTAATCTTGTCAGGGACTCCCGGAGTTCCCCGCTGAGAGCTGGCCGACCCTCCATGGGTCACTGCCGAGGGGAGGCCTTAGTTCCTGGCACATAGCCTTCTGCGGCCGGCCGAGCAGGCTGTCTTGCTAGGATAATAGGTTTGGTTGTGTTTTTAATGAATGAGTAAATGAAAGAAAGTGGTCAGATAATTCTAACAGGACTCTTTTTTCCTAAAGGTGAAACGCCACCTGGACCCCCTGCCTGCAGGCTACTTTTATAATGGCACCCAGTTCGTCAATTTCTTTGGTGACAAGACTGATTTCCACCCGCGTATCCTTGGAATCTGGGGCAGCGAGGCTGGTGGGGTGTGGAAACCTGTCAGAGTGACACTGGAGATGCCGCAGCCCAGCCCCAGGAGCAGCCGGGTTCTGGGAACACAGCAAATCCCAGCGGCGTGCTGCATTTTGACCTCTCTCAGTCATTACAATTGAATTTCTCCTTCATTCAGTGATGGCTGGTGTAACTCTGTGGGCTGAGTTTAAATGCAGCCGCGGTGGCATGCTCCATTCTGTGGTCATCAGGGTCGTTGCGATTTACAGGTTGGAGACTGGGCCTGGTGACAGTGGTCAATCTGTGAGAAGGCGGATAGGGGTGCGTCCGCGTGCCAGTGGACGCTGCAGGGCTCAGTTCTAAGACCCTGTGCCAACCCCTGTCACATCCTTTGTAGCCCTGGTGCTGCCAGGATATAAAAGAGCCCGTCAGACACCCTCTGTGTGTGCTGGGCACTCACTACCTCAGAGTCCCCACCTCACCTGCCCACAGGTCGCTCCGGGCCAGGGCAGGCTTTTCTGTCCTCGAGGTTCACAACTCTCTTCCTTAACGAGCTGCCAGTCATGGACCAGTTCATGAACGACTACGTGGAAGAAGCCAACCGGGAAATCGAGAAGTACAACCGTGAGCTGGAGCAGCAGGAATATCACGACCTCTTTGAGCAGAAGCCTTAGAGGAAGGCTGCAGAGTGTCCACTCTGGATGGAGGTGGACAGAATGGGCTGTCTGAGCCCCAGTTCCACGAGGCCCCTCCCTGGAGGGGCTCTTTGTTCTCCTTGGCCTTTGAGTGCTGGCTTGAGTGCATGTCGTCTTTTTTCTCTCTGCAGCGCTGAAGAGCATCACCTGCACCACAGACTGGGGGGAGGGGTCCTCACCGAGGCTGAGCAGACAGTGACTGCGCCGTGTGTGCGGCTGGCAGTCCAGGACTTCTAGGTCTCTGATAACAGTGTCTCCTTTGGGCTGTTGCGGCACCGTACGAGGGAGGGGAAGGTTTTTGGATTGCACAGAGGAGCTGCTGGGATGCAGAAGGAACCCTAGCTACCCAAACTGGGACCACTCCTGGGGAGGGCCAGGCCACCACAGACTTCAGGCCTCAAGACAGTGACCCAGAAAAGCCCTATCCCCAGTGCCTGCCTCCCTGGCCAGGCCCCTTCCACTGAAGGAGCTGGCCCTGCTGGCCCCGGGCCCAGCTCTGGGGCGAGCAGCGTAAGTCCTTCCCCAGCCCAGCCCAGAGCCAGAAGCTTGGGCTGAGGTCAATAGCTTGTTTTAAAACGAGGGGATTTTCCTTATGGACTAAACAGGAAAGGTGTGCTGCCCTCCAGACGTGGATGGCTGTTGAATTGACACAAGCAGCCCGCCTTGGGATTGGTTTGAGTTCCTCTCGTGGTATCACTCTGGTCTGCCTAATTCAGGGACCAGAGCGAGCCTGTTGCTGGAACCTCCCTGGCAATGCTTTGCCTCACTGTTGAGGGGAGTGTCCTGCAACTGCTTAGTCTTAAGCACTGATCACGATTGTGTGTCCTTGAAGGGGGTTCAGTCTCTTGCACCCGACCCTCCCCTCAGCCTTACCAAGGAAGGCCTGGTCTGCAGCCACAAATTAGAGAAAACCCATGCCCCTGAGCATTGTTCCTAGCCCTGGACCTTTGGGCTCCAGGGGGCCAGGAATTTCAGAGAATCCCGGTATCCAAATTAGAATTCCTTCCAGTGGCTTTGTTTTTGGATGGACCGTAAAGCAGAGGGGAATTACAAGTGTGTCCCTCCTGAAGTTGTGCCTGACCTCCAGAATCCATGTGGCAGAGGGGGTCATGAGCACTGATATTTAGGTGATATCTGTTAGGACTTCAGCGCCTCAGCTGCCTAGATTGTAAATGCTTTCTGAAGTTCACTTTTTTTTTTTTTGCATGCCTTAGGAACAGCCACATAGGCAAAACCAGCAATGTTTCCAATAATGTAGGGGGTTTGAGAAAAGCCCCTGGTGCAGAGGAGAGTTGGGACAGGACGAAGCACACGTGGTCCGTGTGCCTGCTCACACGGGGGTCTGCCTGCAAGTCCTAAAGCAGTTGTCACAGGGGCTTGTTGGTGACATGAACTGACTTATATTAGAAAAAAAAAATTTGTATTTGAAGCCAAATGAACAAAACTCCAGGATCACTGGTTAAGAAATCTTGCATGCAGAAAAGCTTCTGAAAAGGCCCGTGTGCTCCAGTCCCAGCTCCCATAGCCACTGGTGACAAGGCCCCAAGTCAGAGAGCCCCTGATGTCTGGCTGGCCAGAGCTTGGGGTTCACAGTGGGCCTGCCTCTGCTCCAGAATCAATAACATAGATCTTAAGTGCAATTGATAAAATAAGCAATGAGTTACTGTAGCTTCCTTTAGCTCTACTGAGCTCTTTTTAAAAACTCAAACTTGAGCAGCCTTAGAAAAGGGGGAGTTGGGTGGGTGGGTGGGGTGGGTGGGACCATAGGCCATTTCCTCCAGGGGGGTTGCTGTGAAGTTTTAAATGAAAGCTCTAGATCTGGGAGCTCTAGCCATCTCCTGGCTGCTGCACAAGAGAGTTTTTAAAGAGGGGTCGGAGCCCGCCCGTAACAGCGGGTCTCCCCACTGCGTGGGGCTATACTTACACGTGGTGGTTTCTGACCATTGTCCGTGGAAATGCTCTCTCACCAACTTGCCCCACTGTCCCGATTCCTCTCCTCTTAGAGGAAAAACTGTGATTACCTCAACTCGAATATGAAACTGTGATTGCAAAAAAGTCAAAACGTTAAGTCTAAAAGCCAAAAGGCAAAACTGGCTACGGCCTCCTTAGCCACTCCTCAGCCTGCTCAGGAGTGTGAAGGGGCACACAGGTGACAGGGCATTTCATTCCTTGGGGCACACTCTCCGTGCCCCCGATGAAGAGGCAACACTAGCGGTGCGCAGTGTGAGCTCCTTGAGGACGGAGGCCAGGAGGATGCGTCCTCCCCGCACTGCCCCTCCCAGACCTGCGGGCCCCTGGGTCCTGACTGTGAAGTTTAACGTCCACTTGATTCTTGCAGGGGAGGGTGGGGCCCTGACACTGTGCTTCAGATTTTGACGGTAGAAGTGGATGCAAAGGACCCAGCAACGACATCGGGTGCGGGTTCCTAGGAATAGGCGGGAGTCCTCCAGGGGCTTACATGCTTTTTGCCAACTTTCCTGTTAGCAGCTTCGGTTTTGTATCACCCAGAGTGAGTGTGATAATGTTGAAATCGCTGAAGTTATGGGTCATGTTACGTTTTGATGTGGGATTCTTCTTTCATTTTATTACTATTTTGATTTGAAGGAGGAGGCAGAAATCGGAGAAAAGGGACTGCCCTCGGAAGGGGCTGCTGACCAGGGGTCACGCTGGGCCCCCTAAGCCCTGAGGGCTCTCCGACCTGAGGCCTGGACGCTGGGGCCTGCAGGTCACAGGAAAAACTTCCCTCCTGAATTCAGTTAGGATTTTGGAGAATTTTTGCACAGTAATAAGCTCTGAGTTGCTCTTCAGGCTTCTCAAAAGGGAAAAGTTAACTCAAAGATTGTGAATTATTAAGTATTCATTCCAGCCACGATGCTGACCTAGTTGGATAGTCGTACCTCAAAGAGTAGGTGAGAAATGGCTTCCTCATTGTCTTAGGTTGTCAAATACTAATGACAGAAGAAGAGCTCACTTACGTGCCAAAATTCACTTTTATACTAGTTTTTCAGTGCTTTAATATTTGTGACTTAAATTTTACAACTCATTTACAAACACTACTGTAACTTCAGTGAAACTGAGTTGTGTGATTGAAGCTTTTTGCTTATTATAGTATTTATTACACTACTTAATTCCGTAAATATATAAAAGTAGTCTTCAATTTATTTTTATATTATTTTACATGTTTTTACCTGCAGTTGTGTATTTGAATTTACCTTGGTAACTGAGACATAATGCTAAGGATCAATAAACTATCTCTGTACAAGCAAGGCCTCCCTAAGTTGCCTGTCCCTGTAAACTCAGTCCCGAGGTGTCCCTGTGAAACCGGAAAAGACACTGCCGTTCGGGCTGCCTGTCACTACCAAACCCAATAAGCAGAGACAGGGATTGAATCTTTATGGATGCTTTATTCAGATGGCCAGAGATCTGAGAAGATGGTGGGTTCATACACTAACAGACCATCTTAAATTCCATTTTAAAATGGCCCTTTTAATAAGGAGAACAAAACTAGGTAAGGGGGTTGGAATTCAGGGAAAAGTTAATAGGATTCAGCATTCTCGCCCTGGGCAGTGGTCTTAAGCTGCGCCCCAGGCAGAGGTCATCTCACCTGGAGTAAGGTGGCTGAGATACCATCTTGATTGCTTGCAGTCTTCCTGAGGCACAGAGGTGGGACTGCTTGTGGTCTCCTGGAATCAGAGTGGGTCATACCTTCAGTTCCTGGAGCAAAAGCTTTTACATGCATCGATTACTAAACTTATTAGCTATTACTTAAACTAAAATTTTCCAACCCTTAGTCCCCTGTCACCTGGGGTAGGGTTGAGGAAATGGCCCACAGCCTGGGACTGGGGACTTTCCCCTAAGCTTTCCAGGAAGCTTCTCTGCTGGGGCTCCCACTCTCCTCCCCACACCCCAGAAAGGCCTTCAGAGACTAGAATTCTGTGTGGAGACCACCCTGGCTTGGGTGCGGGCACTCTGGAGCACTCCCAGGGAAAAGCCATCCCACCCTCCTAGGCCCCTATGAGAAGTCACATCTGCCGACACACCCACCCTGGCCTCAGAGGGCGGAGAGAGCTGTGGGTTCTGCTGAGCCCTAGGCTGCAGCAGAAACCAAGGCTCCAGAGGCTAGTCAACTGGTTTAATCCCAGTCAGAGCTCCTTGAGGTGGCCACTCCACCCTACTTTACAAGTGGGCGGCGACCAAAACACGAAGGATGCAGTGGCTGTCCCAGGTGACAGAGACTTGTCTTTGCCCTGACAAGGTCCTTGCCCGCCTTGGATCTCAGACGCCCTCCCTGGACTCCCAGGGGCATGGGCCTTGGGACCCACGTTCCAAGGCAGAGGGCGCCACAGCCCCGGAACTCTAGAGCAGCGATTTTCAACCGGTGCACCATGAGATTTTTTTTCAAGCGTGCAACACCTGACTATGAAGTCAGGGGCACCTCCCTCCCTCTCTTTAGACTGTCAGATAAAATGACAACAGGCAACACAACAAAAGCCATGTGGTATAAGTGAATCAAAACTTCTTTTGTCAGGCCGGCAAAATACATATTTCTTTGGTGTGCCACAGAATTTTAGAAACTAGTTTTTGTGTGCCATGAGATGAAAAAAGGTGGAAAATAACTGCTGTAGAGGAACAAACGCCAAGTGCCCAACTTTCCCCGTGCAGGCGCTCGCCTCACCTGCCTCACCTACCCCGCGCTTCCTGCTCGCAGGGCTGCCAGCTGGGCGCCAATCACACCCCGACTGAGCAGGGAGATGGGGCCCCCTCCCTTTCCAGACCAGGGCTGACTAGGGAGGGGCACCACCTCCAGGCAGCGTGTCCACAGAGACCCTACTTCCTGTCCCACCCTCCGCACAGGCCTCCGGACAGGCCTCCGGACAGGGGAAGTGTCCTGCTGGGAAGGTTTGGAAGCTGGCCCACAGGGGAGGCTGGAGGCTCTCTCAGACGTGGGGGGATGGGGTGGGGTGCGGGGGTGGAGGGGATGTTGGTCTAGATGTTCTGTATGATCAGTTAGGTACAACCAAATGCAAAACTGCCTGAGAGGAGCCCAGAGAACTGGGGGGAGCAGGTTGGCAGCCGTGTGGTGTACCTGACTACCTCTTTCCCCAGAGCCTCCAGCCTCCCGCCTGCAGGGCCAGGTCTGAATCTTGACAGAGATCCTGTGCTTGCCCTTCCCAGAAACCACCAGGGTTTGGGGGTTACCCACAGAGAATTGCCAGGGAAGTGGGGGAGACAGTGAATGAGGAAGGGCTCCTGGACTGGATGAGCTTTGAAGGCCAGGATGACCTACAGGCCAAGAAGCCTGGGAACCAAGAAAGGGGCCCATTCCCAACCTGGAACCCACAGGGGACGACTGGGCATGCGTGACAGTGGAGCCCCAGAATCCAGAAATGCTGGTGGGATAGGCATGTAGCAATTGTAAGGGAGTAGAGGGTCTCAGGTGAAGCTGCTGAGAATCAGAGCACTCCAAGGAGCCTGGAGAAATACCAGTGCATTAATATCTACCGGACAATACAATTTAGAGAACAGTCACTCCCAAAGAAAATGACCATACGCCCCACTTCTGGCCCATGATGGGAAGGGCACGGCTTGGTTCCCGGCAGGGGAGTCCGGGGCAGTACCAGCTTCTGGTACGGCTGGGCCGAGGAACTCAGATTTCTTCGGAGCCCTCTCTCTCCGTCCACATTCTCCCCTGGCGTGAAGCTTCCTCTACACCACCAGCAGCCTAACACCGTCAAAGGCAAGACCCACCCTTTCTCTCTAGACACAGCCCCAAAGCCTGAGGTCCCATTCCCATCCCTGAACCAGTCACAGTGGTCAGGAGTATTCTGACTGGCCTGGCCAAGGGTCACTGCGCACTTTTGATAGAGGAATTCAAGAGTTAAAGGCCGTAGCCCTATGGGATAGGCGTAACTGACTAATGCCTGTGGAAAGCTGTTATTCCAGGAGGTCTGCAAGCAATTCAGCCATTCCACCTTCGTTCCCCAGGAGGCCCGCAAGCACCGGAGGTGGGTTGGAGACGGAATCTGAACCCTGGTGTTCCAGGGTGGGAACCTCAGATAAAGAATTGTTGATCAACAGATACAGAAGTACTAGGAAAATCACAGCTGGACTGCAATTCTGGCCAATTAACCTTTTTTCCAAACTCCTCAACTACCCTTTCTTCTCCTTATAAAAAGGTTGGTTTGAAATAAGATGTTAAGATGATTTTTGAGGATACATACCCGCCCCGCACTCTCAGATCTCGGGCCATCTAAATAAAGCGCCCACGGAGATTCAATCCATGTTTCTACTTGTTGGTTCTGGTGGTGACAGGCAACACGAACACTGACTTTTCACTTTCAAGAACCACCCCCCGCCCCACCCTGCCCCCCCCGCCGCCAACACCAGGACCACTGAGGAGCTGAGTCCCCCAAAGGGCATGCTCCCCAAACCAGCATTGCATGTCTTCATGGAGGCCACCTCTGAACTTTTCTGTTGGAATCCTACTTGATTTTTTTAAAGCTTTTATCTATTTATCTTTAGAGGGAAAGGGAGAGAGAAAGAGAGGAAAACATCAATATGTGGTTGCCTCTCCCACGCCCCCTACTGGGGAGCTGGCCCAAAACCCAGGCTTGTGCCCAGACTGGGAATCAAACCAGTGACCCTTTGGTTCACAGGCCAGCGCTCAATCCACTGAACCACACCAGCCAGGACATGATTTTGTAAATTTTGCTTTCTGCTAGTCTTTTCTAGTTACAAGTGATAGCAAGCATAAAGTTGTTCCATTGTGGTGGTGGTGATTTTTAACCAAGAGAAGAAACAATTTTAATTGAAAACATTCTATCCACTAAGATCATATCCCCCTGCAGACAGAGAAAAGGCCACCATTATTTGCCTCTTTAGTGCCTCAACAGACACAGGGACACCAGTGTTTTACTGGAGCCTGTTTAAGGATTTTTTTCCTAAACAAAAGGAAAATCATGTAACATGGAAGGTGACTGCTGCTCCACATTGGTGAGGTCAGAAGTGGACCAGCTAGAGCGTGATTTTGAAGGAACAATTGACAAGATAAAGTGACTAATAAGACGAGAGTGAAAGGGGTGACCTCAAGGTAGAAGTGGAAAAAGCCAAAGTGGAAAAAAACCCAACACTGAAACAATTCCAAAAACTTTTTGTTTCATCCTCCAAAAATGTGAAGAAAAATAAATTTGTTTATTCACAAATTATTACTGTTTTTCCCAGGTCTCTGCATTGCTAAATTGACCAGCCAAAATAACTTGCTAAAAAAAAAATGGCATCAGGGTCAGTAAATTTTATGTCTTAAAAATGCTAATCAAAGTGTGGACTTATTTACATTTTTTTCTGCAATTACTCCTGTTTTTCCTATACCAATACAGAAGTTTAATTTTTTTTCCTCTCATGGCTTCAAATACTTGAGAAAGTTTACATCCTTACTCTGAAGTTTCATGCCTGAGTGAATGTACATGTAATAGCAAAATAAGGACAACAGGAAGAGGAAAGATGGTTAGATAACCAAAAAGTCATGGAATTTTCTAGCTAAAAAGACTAGATTTCAACCTCTTTGTTTTATAGATAAAAATTATCAGAGACTCAAAAAGGCCTGAGGGTGTTCCCCTGTGTCTTCCTGCTGACTTTCCCTGCCCAGTGCATGCAGCTTCCTGCCGGGCGAGCGCAGTCTGATTGGTGCTGAAGGCAGCGTCAGCCCTGAGTGGCTGGATCCAGACAGGATCCTGGTAGCCCCTGGACACGGGGAACCAGTGAGATTGAGAGTCATGGACGGGGAGGTCATGAGGTTCGCAGAGTGGCCAAGGGGGCGAGGATGGCCAGGAGGGTAACAGTCTGCTGGAACCCAGGAGGCTTCGGGTGGTGGGTGCTGGGATTTAAAAGGAGTAGGGCCTGGAGGTGGGTGAGGGTGGGGAGTGTGAGGCAGCCCTGTGGCTTTTGTCTCCAGGCTCTCTTGCCCTGGGGAGCTTGTTGTAATGCAGATTTATGGTCTCATCGGAGGAGTGAAAATCCAGGGTCCAGTTAGGTTTGTGGGCGGGATTCTGACTCGATACACGTCTGCCTTGGAGGGTCTTGCTAGGGGAAACCTTGGGGCATCAACACACAAGGGGTGGTGTTTGGTGTTGTGAGTTCTCTAGGAGCCTTTTGGCTGAGATGCTATGCTGTGGAACTGGAACCCAGGTCAGAGGGCAGAACAGCCCTACAAGAAGGCACTGGAGCCGTCCTACAACCCTTCCTGTCCAACAGCCTGCAGCTGCGTAGAATCACTGAGCAGTGCCATTAGGCCTCCGTCAGTACTGAATTCTGACTATGAGTATGGATGGGCGTGGGGATGGGGACCCAGAAGAATGTCATTGTGAGGGGAGCAGGTCCTTGGTGGCCCTCTGCAGGGCTCCTTGCCCTCCTGGCAACCCCTATAGGAGCTTGGACCTTTCTCTCAGTAGGGGCAGACAGCAGCCAGGAGAGAACTTAATGCTGTCTCAGTTGGGTACCCAAGGGTCTTCCTCCCACCCACCGATACGGCCTGCAGATCTTCCCTGGGAGAGAGGGGAGGCCAGTGGAGGCCGCATTCCCTCCCCCAGCCCCCACCAGCATCACCAGAGGGATAGTGTGAGAACAGCATCTCTTCTTTGGGGCAGTCAGGACTGCCTGCTCTGGGCAGTGGGAGCCCCAAGAAGCTTGTATAACCAGAGAAACTCCAGGGAAAGCTGATAGCTGCAGGTTGCAGGAAGCTACACTGGCCAAGGACCCAAGGAAGACAAGGGCAGAGGGAAGGAGCAGACTGGAAGTGGGAATAAAAGGACTCGGTAATGGCTGTGGAGGCTAGGGTGAGAGGAAGAATGCAGGGGTGTCAAACTCATTTTCACAAGGGCCACATCAGCCTCGTGCTTGCCTTCAAAGGGCTGAATGTAATTTTTGGACTGGATAAATGTACTGCTCCTTAACAGTTAAAGTGAGAGCTCAGCCCTGCCACCAGGTAGAAACAAGGTGGAGGGCTGGATTTGGCCCGCGGGCCTTGTGTTTGCCACCTGTGGTATAGAGGGAGTCAGGAGCACCTGGCTGGAAAACCCTAGTGGGAATGGAGGGCGGGAGACCGAAAGGTCATGTGTAGGCCTTCATTGGCTCGAAAACCTCTGGGACTATACACGGGACATCGATCACGCGTGCAACATCGCGGGTTTACCTACACACACTACAGCTGCGCTGGTGAGAGACAAACCCACGGCCCCACTCGGGGCTCTGGTCTGTCCGGGGGCGGGGCCCGGGCTGTGGAATAAGAATGAAGGAGGCCGAGCTGTAGTTAGGGGCCGCGAGGGTCTTCCATGGAGGGCACAGGCACCTACTTTTGACGGTGTGTCCAAGGAAGCCTCTCTGAGAGACAAGGATGAAAGGAGCCGTGGTAAGAGCTGCACGCCTGCCCCCCAGGCACCAGACTACCAAGGCCTCCAGGCAGGAGGGCTGATTGTACTGGAGGAACAGCTGGCAGCCACCGTGGCTGGAGTAGCAGGTGTAGGAAATAGGCAGGGGCCAGGTCATACAGTAACCCCTACCCACTCCCCTAGGTCACAGCAGGGAGTTTGGGTTGTTTTTCTAAGTGCCAGGAGAAGCCATTGGAGGTGGAGAATGGATTATGGGGGGCGGGGGTGCATGGCCCAGTTCCAATGACGGGCAAGTCCAGATGAGGGACCAGGCTGGAGGCACAAGTAGGCAGAAGTGCTTTATTGCAAAGGTAAGCCCCTCAGAACTGGCTCATGGGTCAGATGCAGAATGCTGAGGGCTGAGAGCTAGGTCAGAGGAGGCAGGAAGGGAAGTAAACGCTGCAAGAAAAAGGAGGTACTAATGGGGCTGGATGCTGCTGGGTGTGGGGGAGGGGCTGACAGGAAAGCCAGTGCAGAGAGACCTGGACAGAGGAGTTTCTGTGGAGGACAAAAGATGGGTGTGAGCGGGATGAAGGGGAGCAGGGAGAGGGGGTGGAGACACAGTAGAGATAACTGGAGAATTTGCTCTGAAGCACAGCTGAGGAATTGGGTGGTATCTGGAACAAGGAGTTCAGGGAAGTGTTTTGTTTTTTGTTTTTCAGTGAGATACTATAGAATCACTTCTCTGTCCACTCTAAAATCTACAGGCACGAGGGGGAAAGCCAGCTGGAAAGCCATTATGTGGCTTACGGAACCCAGTGCTCACAGTTGTGTCCACAGACCAGGGAAGTCTGAGGCTGCAAGGCGGGGAGTGAGAGGAATGTGTGTGCTTATGTCCGGGTCCCGAAAACGCCTGTCTGAGTTAAGGACCCAGTGGGGCACAGGTGGGGAGACCTCAGCCTCTGATCCACAGAGGACAGGTGAGGGTGGAAGGGCTAAAGGAAACAGCTTCTCACATTGCAGCAGGCTCAGAACACCTGAGGCTGCACACAGTGGTTACTAAGGGGTCAGTTCCTCAGAGAGTCAGGTCCCAGGTTTATGGACCAGTGTGAGAGGCCTCGGCTGTGGGGCTCCTGTTTCGTCAGGTGACAGAGGAGGTGAGTCTGCAGTAAGAACGAGAGGCTGCCCCGCCATTCCAGATTGGCTTCCCGGGACAGCTGGGTTGGAAGGTTTAGGTGTTGGACCTCCAGGGAGCTGCTGGTGATGCAAGGAGGCTGATGCGGAACCTAGATGTTGCCATGGAAGGGGCTGGGGACAAAACGGGTGGCTTTTCATCGGGCTAGCCCCTGTGTCCCCAGTCCAGCCTTGTTCCCTGCGCAGGCAGGCTGTTCGTTGATTGGCTCCCCCTCAGCCCCCATCCCTCTCCCCTGTGACTCCAGGAGTCTGTGCCATAGGCTGGGGGTTTGGCTAGAGGATGGAGTCGAAGGGGTACCCTGGATGAACCGGTCTCACGTCAAGAAAAGAAGCCTGCAGCCAGTCCCTATCCAGGCGACCAGGCAGGCAGCTATCTTCCTCAGTGGCTAATGAAGTAGCAGGGAGCAGGGTGCTCAAAGGCCATCCCTACCCCCAAGCCATTCATCTGCCAAGGGGGGCACCCCATGGCTTTGCTCCTAATGCGCTCATAACTTCCTGGGAAGGAAAATAGAATCATTCTCACTCACCATGTCAGTGCATGGAGCTCCCCTAACGCTCCAGGAGCCCTTGGGGGCTGCAGGACAGCCACTCCGCAGAGGTGGGCTCCCCCTCTGCTTGCCGGGCCAGCCATCTCCCGTGACCGGGGAACAGAGGCTCAGGACTCCGACTCGGTTGGTTGGTGAGCGCAGGGGATCGTTGCTGGTCCTAGGGCTGGCGGCCAGTGCGGAGGCGATGAGAGGTTAACACTCGACAGTGAGGGAGATCCTAAGTCAATCCAGGGCTCGACAGTTGTGGAATCATTTGCTGAGAAGCCACCCAAGGCCAGATCAAGGGTTTCATTGCAGGGGCCGGATTGGCCAGACCTCAAAGCAGCGCGCGCCCACCTGCCCGCGCACACCACCACCTCCCTACACAGAGGCGCGCGCAAGCGCGCGTACACACTCGCACTGACTTTACTAGTAGAACAGGAGCCAGAGAAGGCGCGTCCCAAACTGGGATCCCGCATGTTAGGAAAGGAAAATCGGGCGGTGGGCCATCTTGGGAGGGAAAGAAGCTTTGAGCCAAGACCTTGACCCAAGAGAAAGCAGAGGGCGCAAAGAGGCCAGGGGAGAAACCATGAGGCGTGCTGCGAGCAAACCCGGTGCCGCAGAGTCAGGGGCATGGCTGGCTCCGCGGGCCAGGGCGTAGCCCAGGGAAGGCGCGCCGGGCTGTCTAGTTAGTCCAGGCGCGCTTCCTGGAGGAGTAGGAAGGTTTACCGCCAGAGCAGCAGGGATAAATGGAGGGGGCGGAGCAGGCGTCCAGCTGGGCCGAACTGAGCCCTCCCCCCCCCCACCCCCGGCCCAAAAGAGGGGGCGGAGGCCAGCCGCATGCTTAAAGCCGATTCTGAGGAAGCCCTTTCTCGACCCGAAGCAGTGGCATGACTCCGTGGGCCTCTGAACCTAACGAGTTTTTCCCACTTACCAGCCCCGCCCAGCCCCTAACCGGGCGAAGCTTGGGCGGGCAGGCGGGCCCGTGGAAGCCGGGTCTCCACGTTCTGGTTAAGCCGCCACGGTCTTCCGGGAGCAGCCCGTCTGAAGTTGACCAGAGCGCTGGTGGGCGGGCGGTACCCAGTCGTGGGCCTCACTGGCCCCCCACCCCTGCGCCGGGGCGGGGCGACGGAGCGGCTTTAGGACCCAGGCGCAGCACGGGGGTGTGTCGCCAGCTCCCTCCGCTGGCCCGCCTGGGACGCCAAGTTTGGGGTGCAAAAGCACGGAGTGAGGATCCCGGGAGTGTGCGCGTGGGTGCAGCCGTCCGGCCGCCGATCTCCAGGGCCGCGACCACCAAACACGTGTTATATTTCCAGCCTTGAGGTGGGTGCCTGAGCCGGTGGGTGCCTGAGCCAGCGGGCGCGGCGGAAAGGCCGTCCGCTCTCCGCAGGGAAGGCATGCTAGGCAGGGACGCGGAGCCATCGGAGCACTGGGGGGATGCTTGCTGCCTCTGCAAGGGCTCGGAGCATCGTGGGCGAGAGGGTGGGGGTGGGGGGGGGGCTTCCCAGCTGAGGGAAGGGTGTGGGGGTGAGTTCGGTCTCGAGAAAGTGGGTGTCCTGGTGGGGTAGACGAGCAGTGGAAGGAGACCCAAGGAAGGCGTCATGGACTATGAGCGCTGGATTAGTGCTCTGTGTCACTGTCTTGAGATTCTTAAGTTTATGAACCAATGAGGTAGCCGGGGGAGGGGGGCCTGGAAGTGGGTGGGACGGAGCTGTGGGTTCCCTAACACCTCCGGCGTCGGGCTCGTCAGAGCCGGGCGCTGCTGCCTCCGACAGTCTCATTTTACGTTCTGCGCGGAAGCCTGCCCACCGGTAGTGGTCCCCGGACTCCTGACTGTCCCCTGCGCGGCTGTTAACAGTCTCCAACGCGGCTTGGACACCCGAGAGCCAGCGCGGGGTTTGTACAATATTTACTTGCACGTGGGGCTCTGGGGATGGAAGTAGGGTGTGCACCGTAGCCACCCTTCCAGACCCTGGTCACCCTCGTCCTCTGTTCATTTCTGCGGCCTCGGTTGCCAGTTTTACTGCCCCTGCTCCTTCCTCCTTTCTGGATGCAGCCCGGGTTACCGCCCGCCTGCCCTTCTGTCGGCATCCTGCCTCCCCCTTCCACAGACCCCCAGGGTCTCCGAGTTTAGAGGCGCTTTCCTCTCGTGCACGCGGCCCCTCTCGTGGCTTCCTTCCTGGCACAGCGCGGCACCAACAGCCGGGACCATCCGGGGCCCAGGGTAGGGAGCGCGCACAGCTCCCCTTTCCCATCCCCCTTGAGGACCAACGGCTCCGCCTCCCAGGAGACCCCGGGACTGGGCTGTGGCTCCAATGGAAGAAGGCAACAAGAGGGAAGCCGTTGCCCCTCCGCCCCCGTGCTGGGGCGCGTGAAGTTGGGGCGGCTACACGTGTGATGGGTGTTGATGGCCGTCCTTACGGACGTGAGAGTGAGAGGACCCATGTGCGGGGAGGAGGGCTTCAGCCCGGGTGCTGGGCTTGGCAGCAAAAGAACGGCAAAAGAAGGTGGTCGTCTGCTACAAGGAGGGTAGAGGCGACTTCTCAAGACACCAGGCTACTGAATGCTGCAAGCAGTGAATCCCTCACTGTGTCACGGGGTACTGTTAATTACTCATGGAGAAAACATGCTGAGAACATCTGTCAGCTCTCTCACCTGGGCAGCCCCTAGCAGATGGGCTAAAGAATTGCAGGCTTGACTTCCTCCAGCTCCTCAAGAGGGCCCTGCCTAGTACTGTTCCTCGCTCTTTCCTGTGAGGTGGCCCTGGGTTGGGTCCCTGGGAAGGGTAAGAAGAAATCAGCAGGGCTGGTGTGGGGTGGAGAGCAGATGGGCACCGGAGACTGGCCAGGGCTGGTCCTTGGAGCTGGTAACAGTTCTTTGGCTTCCCTTGCAGAAAACTCTTCCAACATGTCTCTGGATGGATCCATTGAGGATGTAGGTGAGTACACTCAGGTGTGGGTATGTGTACAGAGAGAGCTCCCCGGTCAAAAGCCTCTAGAGGAGCTAGTACATCCACCTGGGTGTCCACGGCATTGGCCACCCATCTGTGGCCCTCTGCTGGTGCTGGGATGCCTTGGGATGCTACCCTTTAGGAGCTTGTGGTGTGGTCAGAGAGGCAACTGAAGCTGCCCCGGACACTGGCGGGTCTCCGGTGTTCTTGTGGTGCTGTGGTCCCTCTCCTGGGCTGTATAGGTCATCTGGTGCTGTCCCATGGTTCACTTTTACAATGCTCTGGTTATCCAACCAGCCGTAGGCCAAGTGTTTGGATGCCCACATCCCTCAGTCCCTGCCCAGCCCTGCGAGGGAGAGGCTGCCCTTATCCCTCTACAGAAATGTAATTCTGCTTCTGCATTCCCTGATAGGTCTGGCCTAACTCGCTCTTCTTCACATCTCTGGATGAGCTCTGTGCTCTCTCTCTCCTGCGCCCAGACCTAGGAGCTGGCATGACCGTCAGAGGGTTGTCCAGTGGGACAGTGTTTGGACAGAGTAGTGATGTGCCCTTACCCAGAGTCCCTAGGGTATGGCAGCTGCATGTGCCAGGCTGCTGGCAGGGGAGTTAGGCATGTGTCTGGGCCGTAGGATAGAGGAGGGGGCATGGCATCCCAGGAGCCTTGCATGGACCTGGTAGTGCCAACTGGGCAGGACCTGGGGAGAAGCGGGCAGTGTGAAGGGCAGCACGGGGGAATAGTGGGTGCTTTGGGTGACGGAGGAGAGGCTGGGAAAGGTTGGAGCTGGAGAACCAGGTTGACAAAGCAAAGCGGGCCTGGAATAGGGCAGGGAGTTTTTCACGGACATGAACTCCATGATAAAAGTCAGAAGGACACTTTTTTACCTAATAGCTCTGCTCCGGGCTCTGGGTGTGGTGCAGACCTGGGGCTAGGTTTCCCTAGTCCGTAGGGGCCCTGCTCGGGGAGGCCTAGCACCTCCTGTCCAGAAGGGGCCCAGGCTGAGCACAGGACGACACAGGGGGAAACGGAGCCTGGGATGTGCAGAGGAAACCAGCGGGCCAGAGTGGAAGTGAGTCAGGGTGAGTCACTGCCTGGCAGGTGTAGGCGTGCTGCTGACCTGTCCCTGTCCCCGCACAGGTGTTGGGCATTGGTGGGGTCTGGGTGACAGGGGTCCCTTTCCTGGGATCACCCACAAGTGTGAAACATAGGGGACCCATAGTCAGGAAGAGGTGCCGGCTTGGCCAAGAGTGAAGCTGGGCCCTTGGGACTCGCCAGAGAAGAAGCGTTCCGTGAGCTTTGAGGAAGGCTCTCTGGCCTGCCGCTTGGAGCACAGGAGCTGGCGTGCCCGGGGTTCCGGCCAGCTGGCCTGAGTTGTGAGAGACTGAGGTGGGGAGTGAGACTGGGTCTGAGGGGCCGAGGGCGAGGACAGAGGTAGCGGGCCTGGTTCAGACTGTGATCCCAGAGGCTTCTGGGAGCCCCAGTGGGCTTAGGGAAGATCAGAACATTTGCACCTCACAGGGAAGCCTTCCCATGGGGGGTCCTGTGCTGTGGGGCAGTCGCAGGAACTAAGAGGCGGGCCAAGGGGTCCGGGCTCCCACCCTGGGGGAGGGGCACGACGGACGGGGCTGAGAAGAGGCCGCCTTCCGCAGGCCCCATCTCCTGTCAGTCCCTGGCTCCGTTTCTCTGGCCTCGCTTCCTCCTGCTTCCCGGGCCTCGGGGCCTCGTCTGATGTTTGGACTATGTCTCCCGCCTTGATGCTTTGCTTGCAGACCCTCCCTGGGAGAAAGCACTCCTGGGCCAATGAGGTGGGGAGGGAGGGCTCTGGCTTGCCTTGGATCCCATCTGGGTAGCCAGGCAGAACTGGGTCCTGTAACCTGGAGTTTCTGAGAGGGCAGGGTTTAGGCAATCCTAACTGTGTCATTGTACCTTGTTCCTGGCTCAGAGTTTGTAGAATGAACATATTTTTTTTCTAGCCGAAGGACATGTGTGGGTCAGAACAGTGCAAGGCCCAGTTCCTGCAGCTGAAGAATGGTGGAGAAGGTTGTTGGGTGGGGATTGAGGGGACAGGGCCAAGACTTACCTGCTCTGTTTACCTGGGCCTGAGGCCGCCTTCCTGGCCTTTGAGGGACCTCCCTGATGACTCACTGAGAGTGTACCAAGTGGGACGGCCCAGGGTCCTTGCTCCATGGTCTTGAACTCCTTCCTGGGGTGCAGCACTGACGGCCAGGCCCTCTTGGGGGGGTCTCTCTCTTGGTGGTGGTGGGATCTCCAGGCTACCTCAAGTGTGACACAGATGATGCCTCTGAAACCCATGAGGAGAAGCTGGGGGAAGAGGCCTTCGACACGGTCAACTCCTCCATTGTGTCTGGCGAGAGCATCCGTTTTTTTGTCAACGTCAACCTCGAGGTGCAGCCCACCCAGGCTGGTATGGTGGTTGTAGCAGGGACAGATTTTGGGGGAGGGCAGGGGACCGGGGACTGGGCAGGCATGGCCCCAGTCCGCCAAGAGAGACCTGAAGAGGTGGGTGGCACCCTGAGCCCTCTCCCTTTTTTCTAGCTGACAGTGAATCGCTTGATGGCTGCGGGCTCCTCCACACCTCCCGCAAGGTGGGTGGCCCATCTGCGAACCCAGAGATCCTGGGTTTAGGGTCACTAGGTCAGAGTGGAGGCACCTGATCCCGAAGACAGCTCATGCAGCTCCCTTCTTGCTCTACACGGGGACCTCACATGAGCCCAAGGCCAATCTGCTAGCACCATCCCTCCTGGAAGGGGAAGCTGGGCCTGGCGGGAAGGGGCAGCCAGGGGCCACTGTGGAGCAGAGGCCCAGGCAGTGGCAGCATGTCTCACTCACGGGCCATTGTGGGGTCTCCCCAGTACCTGAAGTTAAAGAACTTCGAGGAAGAGATCCGTGCGCATCGGGACATAGATGGCTTCCTGGCTGGGGCCAGCATCATCCTGAACGAGCCGGCCACCTCGCTGGATGACGTGCTGCGGGCCATGGTGTTGCGCGTCGCCTGCGACCCCGACAACGTCGAGCCCAACTGCAACTTGGACCTGCTCATGTCTATGCTCTTCACGGACTCGGGGGCGCCCATGGCGGGTATGCGCTGGCTATGCCCGCCTCCCCTCTCACCTGGGCGGGGAGATCAGGGAGGCGGGTTGGCTGACCCTCCTGTTCCCCCCGCAACCTGTCCTCAGTCCACCTGCTGTCGGATACCATCCAAGGAGTCACTGCCACGGTCACAGGGGTACAATACCAGCAGTCATGGCTCTGCATCATGTGAGTTGCCAGGCCACCACATTCGGCCTCCCTATGGGTCATGTTGGAGCCGGGCACCCACATCCCCATAGAGGCTGGCTCGCCCAGTTTAGGAGAAAGGATGTGAGCACTCCTGACCCATTTGATCATCTTTCTTGGTCCCTAGCAGAAGTCACTGGGGGGGGTCAAAACTGGGAACTCTGGGTGGTGTCCAGCCCCAAGTGTGGCAGCTGTGTGCTGTGTGCTCCCCCCCCACCAGCTGCATGTCCAAGTCCCTGCAGAAGCGGCACGTGTGCATCAGCCGCCTGGACCGCCCGCAGAACTGGGGGGAGAATTCCTGTGAGGTCCGCTTTGTCATCCTGGTGCTGGCCCCACCTAAGATGGTGAGGAGAGGCCCTGGGGTGGCTTCCGCTCTGGGGAGGAGGGTTCCAGGTCGCCTAGGAGGCATCTCTTCCATGTGCTGGGGCACCCCACACAGGGCCTCTGCAGATCTCATTCCCACCCTGTACCTTCATCTCAGACCTCCTGGGTTTCTCTGAAGCATTCTTGCTAGATCCTCATCAAGCCCTAACTTCCCCAGAGATTGCTGGAAAGATTGTATTTCCTTTCTTATGGAAAAGAGATACTTTTTAAAATTATTATTCAAATGTAGGGGCCTTTCTTTAGCCTGCCCCAACCTAAACCTTCTTCTAGTTGGCTGATGATGATTGGCAGATGTGATTCCCCCCATGCCTCACCCCCAGAAAAGCACGAAGACTGCGACAGAGGTGGGGCGCACCTTTGCCACCATGTTCTTGGACATCACCTTCCGCCAGAAGCTCCTGAAGACCCACACAGTGGAAGAATTCAAAGAGGCCCTGGTCCACCAGAGGCAGCTGCTCACGAGCCAGGGTCCGTGCAACGGGAAGTACTTCAGCTCTATCAGCCTTCAGAGGCCCCCCCAACAGGTACTGGGGCCAGGTGGGCCTGGGTGGGTGGCATGGGGCATGGGGCGCAGTACTAACTGGCACCCTGCCATAGCACCTGCAGTCCAAAGACTTCCTCCCTGTGGGGAAGGGCATCCGAGAGGACTTCGCCTGCAGGTTCCCCGTGTACCCCCTGGACTTCACTGACGGTATGTGGCCCTGTGGTTCCCCCCGAGCTTGGCCAGTGGCTTGGGCCACAGGACAACAGATGTTCCCGTCTGGCAGCCCCTGACACACTCTGTCCTGTCCCCCATTCCTAGGCATTATCGGGCAGAACAGGGCGGTGGGCAAATACATCACCACCACCCTGTTCCTCTACTTCGCCTGCCTCCTGCCCACGATCGCTTTTGGGTCCCTCAATGACGAGAACACTGATGGGGCCATCGGTGAGGGGCCGGAGGTCGGTGGGGAGGGCTGGGGGGGCGCCCAGGACTGCGCTGCCCTCCTGACCACCCGACCCCTCAGATGTGCAGAAGACCATGGCCGGGCAGAGTATCGGGGGCCTCTTGTACGCACTCTTCTCTGGGCAGCCGCTGGTGGTGCTGCTGACAACTGCGCCCCTGGCCCTCTACATCCACGGTGCGGTGGGGTTGTGGCGGGGGGAGGTCGCGGCGGCCCCTGGCCCGAGCCCGGCCCTGACGCCTGCCCCCATCCTGCTACCCACAGTGATCCGTGGCATCTGTGACGACTACGATCTGGACTTCAACACCTTCTACGCGTGGACGGGCCTGTGGAACAGTTTCTTCCTCGCTGTTTATGCCCTCTTCAACCTCAGCCTGATCATGCGTCTCTTCAAGAGGTGACAGGGCCTTCCCTGAACGGCTGGGGCCTTCGAGCAGGAGGGAGACCAAGGCCGGGGGTCTGGGTCAGCCTCCATGCCAGCCTCAGATGTCCTGTAACCCTAGAGGGGATGGGGTGCCCCCAAGGGGAAAGCTTGGGAATGGTCCTCTTCATGGCAGGAGGAGGTGAGGGGCCACACCAAGGATCAGGGAAGCCTCCCCCCCGCAATGACTCACCCCCATCTTATGAGGCATATCACCCCCTGGCAGGTCAACAGAAGAGATCATTGCCTTGTTCATCTCCATCACATTCATGCTGGATGCTGTCAAGGGCATGGTCAAAAGTGGGTATCTGGCCAGGGCTGCCAACTGCGTCCCTCTACTCGTTGTAGAGGATCTGAGTTAGTGGGGTTACAGGCTATGGCTGGGGCAGTCAAGTAGCATGCAGGCTAAGGTAGTTCCCGTGCTCAGGGTGCTCTGGGGAGCAGCATCCTCATGTGCTGTATGGTGACAGGGCTGCCCCAGGCAGGATCCAGAGGCACTGGGCCAGGCTTGATGAGCTAGCAGAGACAGGGCAGAGAGACAAGGGCAAGTGGTAGAGAGTGCTGGGTGGATGGGCAAGTCGATGAGGTCCTGGCTGATGGAGAAGACCAGCTTCCCCGCAGTCTCCTGGAACCCAGATGGCTGAGGCCTATCGGCCTGTACCCACAGTCTTCCAGAAGTACTACTACAGCAGCATCCAAGCGGACTACGACATGGATCGCCGTTCCCTGGTGAGCCTGCTGGGCCTCGGCACCAACCTCAACACCAGCTTCCATACTGCCCTCAACGCCAGCCTCCTGGGCAGCCCGCCGGATCTGACAGTGGGCAGCCATCCTGAGCACCCGGGCCGGGACACTGCCGTGCTCAGCCTCCTGATCATGCTAGGCACACTCTGGCTGGGCTACACCCTCTACCAGTTCAGGAAGAGGTGAGGGGGACCTAGAGGTGAGGGTAAGGGGACATGAGCCCCTGGACCACACTGACACACTCACCTGTGCCCCCAGCCCCTACCTGCACCCTTATGTGCGGGAGATCCTGTCAGACTGTGCCCTGCCCATCTCGGTGCTCACCTTCTCCCTCATTTGCTCCTACGGCTTCCGGGAAATTAAGAGTGAGTTGTGGCTGTGCTGGAACACGGCGGGCCTGGGTGAGCCCCCCCCCCCGTGGAGCTGGCGGCTGGAGCAGGGTCTGTACCTCACTGCAGTGTCCAAGTTCCGCTACAACCCCAGTGAGAGCCTGTTTAAGATGGCCAAGATGCAGTCACTGTCCCTGGGGGCTATTGGCAGTGCCATGGGCCTCGGCTTCCTGCTCTCCATGCTCTTCTTCATCGAGCAGAACCTGGTGGCTGCCTTGGCTAATGCACCAGAGAACAGGTTTGCAGGGCTGGGCAGGGAGGGCTGAGCAGGATGCCCACCCTCCCGGGGCCAGCAGGGGTTCCATCCACAGCCCCTGCCTGTTTGCTGCAGACTAGTGAAGGGCACGGCCTACCACTGGGACCTCCTGCTCATCGCCATCATCAACACGGGGCTGTCTCTGTTTGGGATGCCCTGGATCCATGCTGCCTACCCCCACTCCCCGCTGCATGTGCGGGCACTGGCTCAGGTGGAGGATCGTGTGGAGCACGGACACATTTGTGAGACGTGAGTGTGAGGGTGGCACCATGAGGCAAGAGTCGTGTGGGCCCTGAGGTGGAGTAGCCTGGAGCCACGTGTGACCTCAGGAGGGATGTGGCCCTGAAGTGTCCTAGCCTGGGAACCATATGCGGCCTGAAATGAGGTGTGACCTGGTGGCCCAGGGCTGGAGCTGATCTGGTGCTCTGGGACCACGCAGGATCGTGAGCGTGAGGGAGACTCGGCTGACCAGCCTGGGTGCCAGCATCCTGGTGGGCTTCTCCCTCCTGCTGCTGCCCTTCCCACTGCAGTGGATCCCCAAGCCTGTGCTCTACGGCCTCTTCCTCTACATCGCCCTCACCTCCATCGACGCCAACCAGCTCTTTGAGCGTCTGGCCCTGCTGCTCAAGGACCAGGTGAGGATCTGGCCTGGAGCGGGGCTGTGGGTGGGAGGTGCCACGGCACCAGACCTGACCACGCCTGGCCCTCCCACCCACAGGCCTCGTACCCACCCACCCATTACATCCGGAGGGTGCCCCAGAGGAAGATACACTACTTCACGGGGCTGCAGGTCCTGCAGCTGCTGCTGCTCTGCGCCTTCGGCATGAGCCCCCTGCCCTACATGAAGATGATCTTTCCCCTCATCATGATCGTCATGATCCCCATCCGGTAAGGGGGTGGAGGCCTGGGACGGGTGCCCTCTGCCTCCTCCCAGATCCAGTGTTCATCTTTCTGCCTGTTCTCTACTTCCTCTCCCCCCCAGCTACAAGCTGCTGCCCCAAATCATTGAAGCCAAATACCTGGACGCCATGGATGCTGAGCACTGACTGGCAGGCCCTGGCACACCCTGTTCATCTGTTCCTCCGGGTCTTCCTAGCCTGGCTGTGCCTTCTCGTGGGGAGGTGTGGGTGTCTTGGAGTGCTGTGCTGTGCTGCACCCCCTCCCAGCTGTCCCGACAGGCCTAGGGCATCTGTGCCCCGTGGGGGTTCTGTGGTGTGTGCCTGCACCGCCCATTGCCCTTTGCTTTGGGTGAAACACTGCTCAGGACAGCCTCAGCCCAAGGTGGAACTAAGCAGGACGGATTTTCTTTTGATAAAAGAGTCAGATGCCTGAGAGAGAAACCATTTCCTTGATTGTGTAAGGAATTCACTGTACGCACATTAGAGAATAAAGCTCCTGTTTCTATGCTTCTACTCGCTGTCTCCATCCCTATTGCCCTGCCCCAGCCTCTGAAGGCCACCGGAGGGCCCTGGGGTGGAGGGATGAGAAGGGTTCCTGCGTGTCGGGTGCCCTCTGCGTGTTGTCTGTCACCTCTGCTCAGCACAGTGGCCTCGGGCCCAGCTGGGAAATGTGGAGGACCCAGGAGGCCTTTGTGCTGCTAGGGACCAACAGAAGGAAGTGTCTACGCAGGCCCTGAGGAGAGGGCTCAGGGCCAGTGAAGAGTGTGGCTGGTGTGGAGAAATCAGCAGGGCTGACAGCAAAGGGCTCTGACTCGGAGGCAGCTGCAGAGCAGCCTGACCTAGGACCGAAAACAGGTGTGTGTAGGTCAGACTGGCAGTTTTGGACGGTCTGGTCTGTTGGGTAGATCCTAGAATTATAGGTAGGGGGTGTGCGGTGGCACAGGAGCTGCATCCCGCATGAAGGGAAGTGGAAGAAACCAGATGGTGGGGACTGGTTGGATGGAGGAGAGAAGCTGCCAAGTTCCCGGCTTGGTCATTTGGTGGTTGGCCAGGGTGCGTGGCAGTGGCAGCAGGCAGCGGGGACCACACATCTGCGGCCCCGGGGAGCCCCCTGTCCGTACCTAGGGGCAGCAGCAGTGATAGGCAGAGCGCCTGCCTCGTAGACACTCTTGTTACGTCATCTTTTAGAACTTTGGCTAGACAAATACTTACACCGCAGACCAAGGGAGCAGACGAGAAGGCAGCTGCTACATCCAAAACCACAAAAGGACTAAGATCTACACACACAAAGAATTCTTGTAAACCAGCATAAAGACAATGCCTCTGGTAGAAAAGCGAAGGCTATGAACAGGGGAAGGGGAGGCTGAAATTGTAACAGGGATGGCGAGAGATGCTCAGACAGCCCGGAAATCTAAGAAATGCAGCCCAGCAGCAAGGTGGCACCTTCCGCTCCGTAGACTGGCAAAACTCAGGCTGGAGGGACCATTGGGCAGGAGATACGGGGCCCTCGTGCACTGATGGAAGGAGTGGAGACCAGGGCACAATCAAGACATCTCACGCACAGAAAGCAATGCTCTCTGTGGGGAGGGGTAGCTAAAAAAAAGGGGGAGACAGCTGAGTGCCGCAAACCAAATGGTCGCCGGTTCAATTCCCAGTCAGGGCACATGCCTGGGTTGCAGGCCGGGTCCCCAGAGGGGAGTATGGGAGAGGCAACCACACATTACTGTTTCTCTGCCTCCCTTCCCTTCTCTAAAATAAATAAAATTTAAAACAAACAAAAGGTGGACAGAAAGTGTACTGTGTGTCAGGACAGAACTCTGGGGAAGAAGCTGAGTTAACACAAAGGGATGCCTTGCCCCAGGCTGCATACACCTGTCCCACCCATGTGGCACGTGAGCCTTTGGGGCTCCTTCCCCAGTAGCCTGGGTGTTCCTGAGGGTGGGGTCATGTCCAGAATCACTAAGCAGGCACCCCAGCACCCCACGTCAGCCCAGCCAGACATCACCGGCCACCAAGGAGACCACTCAGAGGCTCAGCCGCTGGCACACTCTGGGGAAACAATCCAGCTGGTCCTCAGAGGCAAGAGTTGGGGGGAAAGACCTGGCCTTCGCCGCGCGCACAAGGGGAAGAAACAAGGGCTAAACCCACACGCCAGACCATGCTGCCAGGACTAAAGAAAACAGTCTGGAGGGGCCGGGCCCTTCTCCAGAGCTGCCTGTGAGCAGAGAGGTAAGCCTGGGAGTGACCCGCCAGCACTGAGGACTGCACCATGCCCCCTCCCCTGGCCTGCTGCACACAAGAGGCTTTTCTGAACATCCTCAGGGTGGGGCACCTCCTCCTCACCAATACCTGCCGGAAAGGCAAGGGAACCATCCCAGGCCTCCAAAGCCTCTCCCACAGAATGGTTTCACTCGGGCACAGTGAGGCTCTGGGACAGCTGGGCTGGGCCTCCTGAGGGGCCTGAAGGGCCCAGGTGAATATGGCATGTCAGCCCAACTGGGGTCACGGACTCATCGCTGTCCCTGCCATACAAATGAACTTGGCATTATAATCATAAGCCAACATTTGAGCTGCTCTAATAATAACCCCACAGAGCAAAAGCACCAGACATCCCACACAGCCCACCTCCAACCCGGCAAACGCCACGGAGACCAGCTAGGCAATGGCATCCCTAAATGGGTGGGCGGGCAGCATGGATCTGCATGGAGAAGGCCAGCCCTTGATCTGAGACTTAAAGAAAGAACAGACACAACACTCAGGCTAGCACGGGCATGCGAACGCTCTGGACACAGCGCTGTCCTTGTCCCATCAACACGCCCTGCCGACCTGAGAAGTTTGCTGCTCCTGCCGAAGGGGACTCTGGAGACAGACACCTGCCCGGGGTGGGTTTCAAAGCAGTACAGCCAGTTCGTTTTGGAGCGTCTTCCAGAAGTTTATTTGCCGCATTTTAAAAACACTGAGACTGTTTGTGTGGTTCTTCCCCAAACCTTATATCCTGCCAAGGCCAGTTTAACACCTGATCCAAGGCCTGGAGAGACCACTGGATTCCCAACAGTAAGAGAGTGGTATCCCTTGTCCAGTTTCTCTAAACAGAGCCACCTGCTCCTCCAGACTGGTAAGGCTGGTCTGGTGAGGCTGTCAAGTCTCACTCAATACCCCCAGGAAGTAACCCTGAAGGACATACTGGGTGGGGGTACCTGCCTGATGGGTCTCAGGCTAGCCCTCCCCGGATCCCCGGCGAGCATGCTCATCACTGGCCCCAAGAGAAGTCAGGCCGCCAAAGTATTCCTGCAGCTCACGCAGGGCCCGGAAGCGATGGGAGATGGCATTCTTCTCAGCTTTGGGCATCTCTGCATACCTAAAAGGCGACAGCAGCAGCTCAGAGTAGGGAGGCCATGCTGGGGAGGGTGTATATCCCCCACTGGGGGTTATTCCAGAGCCCAGAGCTCAAGGAGTACCCAGGAAAGGGTAGTGGGGCCACCACCTCCTAGTAGCCAGTTAAGTTCTTAAAAATCACAGTTTTAAATTCCTCCATAGGTAGAAACCCCTGTTAATGAATGTGGAAGGATATTAAACTTGCTCCAGTGTGTCCAGAAATCATTAAGGGAAGCTGGGGACAGGGGACCAGCTGCGTGTTTGATGGGCTTTGTCATCTGTTGACAGGAAGCAGTGGGGCCTGGCAGAGCGAACACAGCACTGTCCTCTAGTGCACTGCGGGGGTGGGGGCAGCGTGGGACAGCCGGCCGGTGGCCTGTGCTCCACGCCACAACTCCGGCGAGGTAAGAATCCCACACCCCAACGGTGGGCTTCAGATCCGTGCTGTCCAGTATGTGGCCACTAGCCACATGTGGCCATTTAAATTTAAACCAATTACAACTGAATAAATAGAATTGCAATTCCTCAGTCACCCTAACCATATTTTATTTTATATTGTTTTGTAGAGCCTTTAAAAAAAACTTTTTTAAGACGAGAGACAATGAATTCTCGTTCCACTTATTTATGCATTCACTGGTTGATTCTTGTATGTGCCCTGACCGGGGATCGAACCCACAACCCTGGCATTGGATAATGCTCTAACCAACTGAGCTACCTGGCCAGGGCCACCCCAAGCACATTTTATTTTATTAAAAAAATGTTTTTTCCAACCACATTTTAAATTCCCCACAGCCACTTGTGGCTAATTGCTACTGGACTGGACAGCACAGATGTAGAACATATTTGCCACCAAAGAGCATTCTTGGACAGTGATCTTCTTTGTTGTCCTCAGCCCTATCCGGCTTTTGTGAGGTCTCAGGCCATACTCCCTACAGGGCGCTCCAGCCTGGAAACCTGGCTCCAGTAAAGGCCCACATGTCCCATGGAAATAAGCAGGGAAATGGATATGAAATACTGAGATCACTCAGCACTGTGGGGGTTTGACATGATGCCCACCAAAGGCTGCAAAAGTGTTAACATTTTTCTAAACTAAATGAGGGGGTCAGAAGACCATCCCACAGAACTGTCAGATATACACACAAGCTACAATCAGAGAGGAAAAGCCACTGAAGCCACACAGCAGCTCTGCTGTGTGCTGGAGCTCGAGCCCAGGTCTCTCCCAGCTACGCCTGGCTGCCTTCCCTGCCTTGGACCGGGCCACCCAGATTCCTTGCGTCCACCCCAGCAGAGATGCCTTCAGCCGGAACGGCACCCTCAGAGCCTGCTCCATCCTACATCCGCATGCCTGCACACTTGGGCAGGGTGCCGACCCAGTGCAGACCAGGGCTAGCATGACCCCAACAAGAACCTGGGCTCCTTACGTTTGCTCGTATCCATCAGGCTGAAAACAGGGGTCCCAGCCAAAGTCCCGGCAGCCTCGGGGTGCCACAATCCGGCCCTGCCAGAGGAAAGGGGGACAGGCATGTCACTGGGCACAGAGAAGACGCACTAGGAAGAAAGCAGTACCCAGTCTGAGTTTAGTTTATGGATTTAGTTAAATCCTATTTACTAAAAATGCATGGTTTCAAGGGGTCCATGATACCTACAAATGTTTGCTAAACACATAAGATGCTCAGGGGGCCAGTTCCCCCCTTACACCCAGGGAGGAACCATGCACTCGATATCCCTGAAGCCACCCTCCCGCTCAACAGCTTTGACAAACTGTGACCTATTGAAGAGAGTCAACTGCGAAAACCGGACAGAAAGCATTTTCTCCTACACGTGAAGTTAAGGGCCCTGAACTGTGCAGACAAGCCCCATGCCTGCTCCTGTTACTGCATTTCTCAAAATGCAAGGGAGGCTCTAACAATTAGGTGAAAATGTCACAGAAATTATTTAGTACAATGTTCAACATATAAATGAGCCCAATAAATACTGGCTGCAATAGAAAAGAATTCCACCAGAAAAATGTTACAAAGAGAACCAATGATAGTCCAGGGTCATGAAGTGTCATGTTGCCCTGAAAGCAATAAAAGAAAAAGCTTATTTAAACAATATAAGAGAGGTAGTAGAGGACAGGGATT